TTCTAGTAGCGCATTTGGATCAGTAGCACTGGGGTTTGTAAGTAAGTATTTGGGAAGAATTGAAAGCGAAAGATGTTCACCTTTTCAAAAACTCATTGTAAGTCTCTGCTTTCCCATCCTTGATATCAAACCCTTCAATCTCAATTGGAAGATTCACAGTATCGAAAATAATCAACCGTTTAAGCCCCTTTAATTCCTTTACAATCTCACGTGTTTTAGTCAAACTTTCATGAAACCTTCCATTATATTCGACCCCATTGTCAGCAAAAAGTACGACCGGCTCAATCTGTACCAATCGATCCAATACAGCCGCAACCCCCGTATCAGGACTGACACCAGTCCATATTGCTCCTATAGATGCAGCAGCTAACATTGCCACAACGGTATTCGTATGATTTCCTACGAATCCAGCAACTCGGTCATGAGGTTTGACACCGAGCGTTCGTAAGGCATTGGTACATTTTCGAACTTGTTCTCTGAGTTCGGCCCATGAGACAGTATTGCGAGTGGATTCTGTGGCGGCGATGATAGCTGGAGAATCCGGGTCAATAGTAAGATTAGCGGGGTAAAGGAGGTTTTCGGCAAAGTTGAGGAGAGATCCTTGAAAGAAGTTGGGTCGAGGAAACATTGGGGCATCATTGTCAACAACCTATTATTGTTATTAGTCTTGCAAGAATGTGTAGAGTTCCTCTGTGAGAATGATTTTATTGTTTGTGAGCCGACCTGATATCAAAGTACATAGAACTACTACGCCACAAATCAATCACTCTCTCAATTATCTCATAAATATCCCTCGATCACAGCCCAAACGACACTTTAAGAGAGAAGACATGATCGGCCCTGTCGACCTCCCGTCTCCCTACCCGGCATCTACCTCAATATCCTAACCCAAGGAATCGTACCCGTCACATGACAACACAAAAACCAGCTCCCTACGTACCTTATCAAAACCCCTCTCCGCCCTAATTCCCGTGAGCCACCAAGTCTCCTCCCAAAATTCCGCTATATTTTCAATAGACCATTCATACAAATCATCATAACTGTCCAAATTCAAGTTATATTTCTTGTTAACAATCTCTTTAAACTCGTGCATGCGCGTGGAAGTGGGATCCGAATGACGCCAAAGCTCTGTAGCTAACGATTCGGATCCATTGGGAGGAATTTGTGAACCCATAGTTGTGATTTGATGAATTGGTAGTATACGAGTCAACTTTAGGAAAGAGGAGTGTACTGCAAGTGGATAATTTGGAAGGGATGAAGAAAGGGGAAGCGATTCTCAACAGATTTTTGCGATGTGGGGGATGTGGGGGATTCAAGGGGGAGTCCGGCGGTGAATTCCAAACTCGTAGAAGTATTTGGTGAAGACAATTCAAGTAAGTTTGCTTGTTTTTTGCAAGAGAAAAGAGGTGGAAATTGAAGGAATTGAGAAATTTCAATGCATATCTTGACATGAGACTATTTACATATTGTAGGTACATGTACATCTCAGTGACCTCCAACAATAGAGATGCGGAAAGGTTCCGAGCGGATTGTTACGGAACCTGTGGATGTCCTCAGGCACCATTCCGAGGTTAGCCATATGAACTGGAACTGGCGGGTGTAGAACGGATGATAATTTTGAGACACCTTGACTGACGGACATCTTCACTCAGGTCCGTGTTCTTTTTTCCAATATCAAATACTCAAGGCACTTACCTGCATATCTGTACTTGGGGTTCTTACAACAACTTGGTCATCATACTTGTATACCCTAGTGCCTATACGGTATGTATATATATATACATACACACTTCAGATTTTATGTATTGGTTGATGTTCACCCTGGGTAGGAAAAGAGTCAACAACGGGAACACGACCCAAAGTCACCACTAGGTACGTACCGAACGAAACCCCTCCATCACCGGTAGCAACGGGGAAAAGAAAAGGCATTTTAGAGCTTAGAACCCGCCTGCTCCCGCATAGTAAATTAATGTGGTATCGATCGATGAACTTATATAATATTCGATTTCTAGACCTTTCAAAAAACCACTAAATCGAAAGCTGCTAGTAATAGTATCAAATTTAAGCTCAGGAACTTCTTCATGCTATTAACATGCATTATGATTATACTTGTGATGCACGCAGTACTCCGTAGACCCAGGTATTGGATGGTTTTTGCATTGGGAGGGTACACTGTAATTTTGAAAGCTTATGGTCAGCCGTTTCTCGGGAGAGAGGGGTACTCCTTGAATCAGCAAAGCAAGTGAAGCCGACCCAAGGGATCTAACGTCTGAAGAATTTATACTTTTAGAGAACATTTGACTGGTGCTTTCTCGAGCAAGATTTTGTTCAAGGGCGATGCTGGGAACGTTTGAAGAGTATGCATCAAAGTGATATCATAGTCTTAAGATCTGGGCATGTTTTCATCTGGACAAAAGATGATAATAAAAGTATAAAAGTTGCATTGTCACGATTCACGATCGCATTTCTTGAGAGGAGGGCTCGTGATGTTCCACTTAAACACTCTATTTGGGATTGCATGGAGAGTTGAGATAAGTGAGGGGTTGAGATACGCGTAGGTTGACATATGGCATGGGTGCATCGTGGCAGCGAACTGAGCGAAGGAACGATAAAAAGCCATTTTGAAGAACAAACGTCAAACGTATCATGACGCGTGCGATACGCTCTATGCACTTCTACGCTTATACGCTTATAGGGAGCGGGAGAAGAACCTGCGGTACTGCTGTTTGATGTGGTACACACCGACTAGGTCAGGGGTAAAGGAGTGTCAAGCGATAGTTTTGAAGTGTGTTAGCAAGTCAGCCCAAATGAAAGAAGTGGGAAGTAGCATCGAGGTACCGGTACGCATTCAAAAAATAAAGAGAAATCGATGATTTCATTCTCTTCATACTAATCTGGTAGCTTTAAATGAAGTAATATGCAATTCAAGACTTTGCCCTACAACAGCAGCCCTGGAGCATCGAGAATCGAGAATCGAGAAATCAAGACTAGATGGAGGCTAGAGTCCATAGTGATTAGTTTGCACAAAAGTACAACTCGGATACCAAGAGGAAACTCAGAATCTACCTAGGTAAATACCTGCCTAGGTGAGCTGCATAACTTGCACAAAAGTCAAGCTTCTCATTGGTTCCGTCGCAGTTTCTAACAGCCCTACCAGTCAATCAGAAAAATGGAAAAGCCGAACGGATCCAGATAACCACTCTTTTTGGTGTTTGGGACCAATCACATAAGGTTATCTAACGCTTCCAGCCATTTCAATCCTGGACAAGAAAAAAAAAAAGGAAATTAGATATATCGGGATTTGAAAAAGACCGCAAACTGCGTGAACTGAGTCTAAAGGCGGCGAGTGAATTTGAGGTTTTTACACCGGTGAATGTGTATGTAATCAACGACGAGTATACCGGACAATGCACAAATTTGCCCTCATGAAATCTTCCCAAGGCAAACGATCTCGGTAAAGCGGCAAGTCAAGCAGAGGTAAGGATAATCCGCAAACCGACGGATGCACCGGACGATTAGCTTCTTGTTGTTAGAATAATTCGATCCTTCCGTCGCTCATCGATGCTCATCGCCGCTCATTCTCCGAAAGTATTCTTCATATTCATAAAGTCTAGATTAATAGATTAATACGGAGCCACAAGCCGCTTTGATCATCGTTCATTAGAAGATTTTCAAAGACTCTCTCGGGCACCACCAACTTATCACATAATTAGTAGATTTAACCCATGTTGAACCTCATTTACCTCGAGTAACCTAAAAATCCATATCTCTTCTCCTTTATTTCACATTTCCTCTCTTCTTCCCATTTCTTGCGAATTGTGATCCCCCGTTACATCGAAACCTTGTGAAGTTCTTCTTATCCAAAAGGGAACTAACTGCCTTGTTGATTGTCAATCTTACTTATCATCATCATAATAAGACAGCATAAGCCAGACTATATTGGTGTGTTTCTGTTTCTACGAAGCATCGATTGAGAGAAGTCCTACTCGAGTAGCACTTTCGAAACTATAATTGAGTGTTTGGGAGTGTCTGGAGCGTCTACAGTAACTTCTTCAACGATAGCTTCGGATCCAGCCACATCTCGTCCCTCTTTCCCTGGCGAGAACCTCTCACCGCGGTGACCAATTAGCCAGCCTTAAATCTCCCACATAGGAGGAGAGAAGGAACGAAGAGCGAAGAGCGATCAACGCAGAACGCAGAACGCAGAACGCAGAACGCAGAACGCAGAACGCAGAACGCAGAACGCAGAACGAAGAACGAAGAACCAAGAACGATCAAACGGTGTTTTACTTTCTCGTCGCAAACTTAGTCTCAATCCTCTCACCCACCATTTTACCACTAGAAGGATTGCTTCCATTCTATTTCTTGCAAAGCATCAACAAAAAAGTATTTCACAACTCACACCGATTTAATATTGCAACAACATACGAATACACACTACACGGCCAATCCTAACTCACCAAAGCATAAAATTCCATCCTTGGTATGTCTACTTTTTCCTCAATCTCCTTCAATCATCGATTTAATCTCGATTGCCTTAAAACTCGATGCCCAATTTAAACCCCATCGTGCCCTGGGCACAAAAACGTCTGCACTTCTTATGATATACTTATACTACTTCGAAGTCTTCGTTGTCTTCTTCCATCGTTCTCCCCTGTCAATCCTCTCGAAAACAGATATCAAGTGCTTCGCCCCACAGCTCTTCTCCCTGCATTATAAATTGTCCACGTTACTGATATTAAATCCTCATCCTAGAACTCCGTCGTTAGTTAATCTGCCAACCACCTTCGTCATAGCCCACAGACTACGAATACCCCTTATTGATCAACGATATCTATCCCTCTATATCCCTCCGAGTCAATTATCTCACAAGCCAATAAACACAGGTCTCCAGTTCTTTGGAGAAACATCGACATACGACTTTCATTCAGTCTACGCTTCCATCCCCAACGCTATATACTCTAATCTGCTCTGAGCAGGGTTTTTGATTCATGAACACGATGCCTCAAAGACTTCCTCGAAATCCGTTCGCTAGTTCCATCACGCCTGCGGCTATTACACCGCAATCCGACAAACCTACAGCACGTAGGCCGTCGACCTCAAAGGGTAACAGATTGACCAATTTCTTCACCTCTTCACCAAAGAGCAAGGAACAACAATCTGCTCAGGCGGCCCTTCTTTCTGCTGTTGCCGCACAACAACAGCGACTTCTGGACAATCCGTCGCCCAGTCCAGCATCTTTATCTCTTCCCACAATTTCTCTCTCCACTGCAAAGGCTGGTGAGGTAAACATGGACGAACCACCTACGACACTTTTCCAACCACCTTCCGTCGCAGAGGCAAAGTTACAAGCAAGAAGAGATGCACAATTTGGTCCGTTGAACCACCCAAGTCATAAATATGTCAGCCAGCATCATGGAGTCCTCGAAGATCCAGTCGAGGATGAGCCACCGTACTATTATCTTCTTACTACATACATAAGTTACTTGGTCTTGATCATATTTGGACATGTTCGGGATTTCTTTGGAAAAAGATTCAAGCCCGAAGCCTACCGACATCTTACTGCTGCCAATGGTTACGCTGCCCTCAACAGTGATTTTGATAATTTCTATGTTCGCAGATTGAAGTTGCGTATCGATGATTGTTTCGCTCGTCCAATTACTGGAGTTCCTGGTAGATACATTACCCTTATTGACCGAAAGACTGATGATTTCAACAAGAACTATCAATATACCGGCACGTACACAGAAACTCTGAATTTGAGTTCTTATAACTATCTCGGATTTGCACAGTCAGAAGGACCATGCGCAGATGCAGTTGAAGAGACAATCAAGAAATACGGAATTAGCTCTGCAAGTCCTCGAGCAGATGCCGGTACTTCGGATTTGGCCTTGGAGGTCGAAGACAGAATTGCTAAGTTTGTTGGAAAACCAGCTGCAATGGTATTCTCAATGGGTTTCGCTACAAACGCAACTGCTTTCCCCGCTTTGGTTGGAAAGGGCTCACTCATTATTTCCGATGAATTGAATCACGCTTCTATCCGTATCGGTGCACGTCTTTCAAGAGCTATGATCATGTCCTTCAAGCACAATGATATGAACGATTTGGAAAGACTCCTCCGGGAAGTCATCTCTCAAGGTCAACCTAGAACTCATCGACCATGGAAGAAGATTTTGGTTGTAGTTGAAGGTTTATACTCCATGGAAGGTACAATGGTCAACTTACCAGGAGTCTTGGCTCTTAAGAAGAAGTACAAGTTCAATCTTTTCGTCGATGAGGCTCATTCTATTGGTGCTATGGGTCCTCACGGTCGTGGAGTATGCGATTACTTTGGAATTGATCCTGCCGAGATTGATATCCTCATGGGTACTCTGACTAAATCTTTCGGTGCTAACGGAGGTTATATTTCTGGTGAAAAACATATCATTGACAAATTGAGGCAAACAAACGCGGCAACCATGTATGGTGAATCACCTACCCCACCAGTCTTGATGCAAATTCTCAGCGCATTGAAAATCATCTCTGGAGAAATCGCTCCTGGTCAGGGTGAAGAGAGATTACAACGAATTGCATTCAACTCGAGATATCTCCGATTGGGATTGAAGCGCCTCGGTTTTATCGTTTACGGTCATGATGATTCTCCAATTATCCCAATCGTTTTGTATAACCCCGCCAAAATGCCTGCTTTCTCCCATGAAATGCTTCGAAGAAAGATTTCCGTCGTCATTGTCGGTTATCCCGCCACGCCACTTATCTCTTCCCGTGCCCGCTTCTGTGTTTCCGCGGCCCACAACAAGGATGATATGGATCGTATCTTGGCTGCTTGCGACGAAGTTGGAGACGTACTTCAGCTCAAGTTCTCCACTGGTGTAGCCGGTGGTGCAGAACATCTACCTGATGGTGTTACACCTGAAATGGAAAAGGAATGGCAAAGAGCAAACGGTCTTCAAGGAGTTGTTAAGCCCCCACGCTGGTCGTTGAGAGAAGTCATCGCCAATGGTGTAGCAGATGTCAAGGAACCTTTGCGTTGATGGGTTTTATCCCACTTTATGAATCACTTATGTACATTACGTTCTTGTCCGGTGCTTTTTTTTTCTGTTGATTCATTTGGCGCGGCATATCGTTAAGATACCCCTTGCCATGCCTTTTTGATTTTTTTCTATTCATTTATACATTTTTCCTCTTCTCTTCTATGATTTGGTTTTTTTCAAATGACCAGTTTTTTATGAGGACCATTTTTGGTGGATGATTGATTTGATTCCACTGATTGATGGTATTGGGGGAGTGGGAATAACAAAAACACTCGTTAAGGCGTCTAGAGAAGGACAATGATTTGTCACAGATACAAATTCAAATACAGATACAGATCTGCATTGGGGTTTGTGTTTTGCGGTTGCAAGCTGTGGATGGATGGGATGAACGAGAGCAAAGTGGTCGGAAAGCGATTACTTAATATTAATAATTAGATGATTGATGAATAGGCATGGGTGAAATGGATTGGGGTGTATATGATTGGGATGGATGCAAGGTATGGCATGGTGATGGTGATGGAGGGAAGATGAGAAGATGGAAGAAAGAAATGGAGTAGATAGATGAAGAGAAAAGACGAAGAAAGAGAATTGAATTAATGATTGCAGAATTGCCGATATTTATTTTTACGACTATCATGCTTCACTTTTTTTGGGGCTGTGAGGTCAAAATGAATTGACTAATAAATTGACAAGTGATCTTCGGGTTTGATCGACACTAAAACGATCGATCGTCAGGGGAATAATTACTTTTCTTGAATATTTAATGCCAAAAGCCGTTTCCGATGGTGAAGTCAAAATCGATATTCATGTCGATAATGGGAATTTTGGAATTTGTTTTGTATTTGAATTTTATGTGGCCTGAAAAAATGGGCAAAATTTAAGGAGAGGGCCTCGGAATTCAGGTGAAGAGAGGAAAAAAGTCTATGTCGTCATTATTTTTTTGGATGGGTGTTGATGTGGTGGGTGCAGGTGTGATGAAATACGAAGAGAGAGGCTACATTGGGTTAGAGGGGAAGGAAGGAGGTGAGGGGAAGAGGGAAGGAGGGGAGAGAGGAGAGGGGAGTTTTTAGGTTAGGAACTCTCATTGGCTTGTTTGATTGGTTTATTACTCTGTATTATTGGGTTGGTGGTTTCTTTTCTTTATTATTATATATATACGAAGAGTTCTGTGATATTCTGATATCTTTTTTCTGTTTCTGTTTCTGTACTGGTAAGGTTGCTGGTGGGTTTGGAATTGGAATTGATAGCGTGAAGATTAAAGATTGAGAAATACTCTGTTATCCTGTCTCATCTCATCGCATCTCATCGCACTACAACATCTTCACATCTTCACATTTTCACCTTTTCACTCATATACATACACACAACAAACACCCTCTCCTCCTCTTCTCCCATCCGATCCAATCCAATTCAATCCAAACCTCATCAAAAAATGACACTCACACAAACCCTCCTCCACCTCACCAACTTCCGCTCTCCCTTCCTGCGCACGCTGGTCCCTGCCGTCGGCGCAGCTTATCTCCTGCAGGCCGCCGTCGCCATCCCGAGTATCGCGGCCCAGTCCGAACGCTTCTATGATTTGAGTGGCAGTTTGACCTATTTGAGTGTGACGGCCCTGTCGCTTTATTTGCCGACGGTGAGGGCGAGGGCGGCGGCGGGGGTGTTGGGGAAGGGGGGTGGGAGGTGAGTTTTTTTGGGGGTTTCTTTTGATTATTTTTTGTTTGGGGGTGGTTTTGTGTGTATGAGGGAGAAGTGAGGAGAGGAAATGGAGGGGTTAGGAATTGATGGAAAGAACAGTGGATTATTGAATTGAAAACTAATCTGATGTGACAATAGTGGCCGAAACTCCTAGAAGCATTTACCGGAACTGGAGGTGCCAATGCGTTGAATTGGAGACAAGTAGTTTTGAGTGCGGCGGTGGGGATTTGGGCTACGAGACGTATGTTATTCTTTGATTTCTATTTTGGGGGTTTTGGTTTCTCTGCTTTGCTCTATTTAGTAATTGTTGACTTTCTGGGTGGGTAGGTGGGTTGAGGTAATTTATGAGATGGGCATTACATGTAGAGATTTTTTTTTTTTGTTAGGAGTATGTTGTATTATGTCACGTTACTAACATTGTGAACATTAGTTGGTAGTTATCTCTTTAAGAGAATAATGGAGGACGGTCATGATTCTCGATGTGAGTTTGTTTTATACTGCGTTTCTTGATTATGATGTGTGAGAGACGTGAAATGGAGTCGGGTTTAATATCTCTCTCTCATGCATATATACACAAATCTCCGTTTTCTCCCTCCCTTGCTTCACAACTCCTTCAACCACCCATCTAACACCCTCCCAGTCGACGAAATCAAAAATCCCCTAATAAATTCTTTGGCGCCTTCTTCGCCCAAGCAACCTGGGTATCCCTTTGCTGTCTCCCCGTCCTCGCCCTCAACTCTCTCCCACACCCTCTTCTCTCCACCCTCCCCACCCTCATGCTAACCGATATTATCGGACTTCTCCTCTTCGCCGGCGGTCTCTCCTTTGAAATCGTCGCCGATCGCCAAAAATCCGCCTGGGTCGCCGCGAAGAAGAGAAAAGAGCATGATGAGGATTTCCTAACCAGTGGTCTGTGGAGTAAAAGTAGACATCCAAATTATTTCGGAGAAGCCACGTTGTGGACTGGAATTGCGGTTTTGAGTGCGGGTGTGCTTACCGGGAGAGTAGGTCAGTTGGGGATGGGCACGAGTGGGTTTGGGAAGAGCGTTGGGAGTGGGTATTGCGGGAGTGAGTCCGGCTTTTGTGTGCTTTTTGTTGTTGAAGGTTAGTGGGGTACCGTTGAGTGAGGGGAAGGTATGTTGATCATTTCTTTTGTTGTTTGTTTTTGGTTGTGTGGTGTGGTGTTGTTGAATGTGATGTGCATATGGTGGAAAGGGAGACTGGGGGAGAAGATAAGGGGTCTTACCTGCTTGCTCAGGTGAAAGAACCTTTTGATGCGGGAAACGCATCTCTCTCCTTGCCTATCCTTTTAAAGTACAAGGGAAACGAGTCACGTCTTGGAATACTCGCCAGCGCAAGTACCACGCCTAGAGCTTCATTCAGGAGATTCTATCTCAGATAGAAAAGCCCCTCGATCCCATTCAGAGACTAGAAGCGCTACCATCTCAAATATCTGAAGTCCTCAATATGGTAGACTCAGAAAGAGCAAATTGATAAAGGAGAAGAAGATGAACCTTGCAAGAAAAGAGGAGAACAAGAAAGAAATGAATTGAAAAGCAAACTAACTCGCACCCCTTCCAAAAAATATAGTATGATAAGAAATACGGTCATCGAAAAGATTACAAGGAGTGGAAGGAGAATACTCCGAAGTTTATTCCGAAGTTTTAGGGGGTTATGATGGGGTTATGCTCTAGTATTCTATACTATGCCTGGAAACTTGATGGGTAGAGGGAAGGGGGTGGAGAGAAAAGGAGAGGAAGATAGGGAGATGGGGAATGGGATGGATGGGGTGGGAAGAGCTGAGGGGATATTGAATCGATGCTTGTAGTAGAGATGAAGATGAAGATGAAGATGGCGGAAGTTTGGAAGTAGATGTTGTGGAAAGTATGGTTTCTGTGACTAGGAAATGGAAGAGATGGAACTGAAAGGAGAAGGGAAGATTTATGCTTAGGTTTATATGATATTAATCCACTCACTTACTCACTCACTCACTCACTCACGCACTCACATCTCTATCAAAAAAAATAAGAACACCATCTCATATTATCCCATCCAATCAAGCCCTATCTAATGAAAACAAAACAAAAATGAAAAAAGTCAAACGCATCAAAGTGTATCAATCATATTTTCATTTTCATAATCATTCGTTAAAAGTATGCTTGCTTGCCTGCCTGCCTTCCACCCATCCATCTCCTTCCCTCTCTCATTTCAAACCGTCCTCCCCCTTCCCTAACACACATAAATAAATAGAAAAGAGCAATCAAATACAATCCATTGAGAAACACACGCAACCAAAGAGGAGGAACAAAAAAAAAGAGTAAAAGAAAAGGAAAACACAAGAAAATAAACCAACTAAGCCCATCCATACTTTCCATCCCTCCAGCGAGAAAATCTTGGGTATTTATCTATCTATCCATGCATATCCATGCCGGTAAACACGTAGTAGCTTTCTTCTAGACGAAGAAAGGGTGATGAATATGAGGTTTGTATGTATGTAGGTAAGATAACAAGAATGACCCAAGAATAGATAGAAGACACTTCCCACTCATCCCCACAGTGAGAGACCGAATCGATCAATCGAAAAGAAATTAATAAAGAACAGGAAGAAATGAAGAAATGCAACAGCGCTATATGAGGGAGTCGATGCTAGGTGCAAGCAAGTACAAGCGCAAATGTCATTATGTAGCAGCCGTAACGTCGTATTTTATTTCATCTGTCGTTCGTTTCGTCGGTTCATTTCATCATATTCGTAGAGAGTTGGATTTCTTTTTTTCTTCTTTCCGCTTTCTCTTTTCGTCTTCGTCTGCGATTCCTCTGTGCAATTTCGATTCTTTCAATCGACCGGCTCACATTGATAATTCAATCCTAGCGATAGGAAAAGAACTACCAACGTCTGCTAGGTCTCTCGCGTCTTCTATGATCATCCCAGATGATTTCTCTCTCGATGATTCGCTCATCGTCGTAGCCGCTATCTCTTTCTCTTCTTCGCTCTGCTCGCTCCCAATCATCGCGTTCTTTCTCACGACGTTCAATGCGAATGCGTTCACGTTCGATTTCACGGATGCGATCTTGTCTTTCGCGGCGGACGGTTTCGGAGAGGGCAACGAGTTCCTCGACATCTTGCTAGAGGGTTGTTAGTATGTTCTCCGAGGAATGTAAGAGTAAGGCAGGGAGAAAACTTACGTATCTGAGATATTGAAGAATGTAATAGAAGAATTCTGTTTCTTCGTAATCATAGCCAAGTTCCTCGATAGCCTCCTTAGCTACCAAGTCCTTGGTGATTTCAGTCCACAAATCACCCATTCTACTTTTTGGTGGACCACGAGGTAATGGGAAGCCAACTTGACGATCAGAGCTTTCCTCGATACGTTCGTATTCTCTTTCTCTCTCGTATGTTGGTCCACTGGCATGGCTTCGTGGTTTACGACTGCTAGAGTTAGAGATATCGATGTCAATAGTGGTTGACGATTCGCGTGGAGAAGGTGCAGCACTTTGACGCTCACGAATCTCGATATGCTCAGTTGTACGATTAGGTCCTTCTCGCTCACGTTCACGGATCTCAATTCTCTTCTCGACACGTTCAGGTTCTTCTCTCTTGTGCTCACGCTCAGGATTGAACTTGCTTCGTCGTACACCATTGTATCTCTGCCAAGTGATTTCTTGACTTCCACCCCCGACACCATCTAGTTGGATCCTCTCCGTTCCAGGAGGAACATCGATGATTGACCAATCTTTTGTGGCGCCGTTAAATGCTTCACCAATGACGGCTCTTTCTTGAACCTTGCGGGCATAGAAATCGGCTTCATCTTCATCCCGGATATCGAGATTTACTCTCTCCTTATCAGGACGAGCACTCAAACTTCTTCTTCTGCTGAGATCGATACGGGTATCTCTAACACGTAGCTTGTCACGCTCTTGCTCATATAAGATGGAATCATCATAATATTCTCTTCGTGGAGGAGGTGATTTAGGCTTTTCGCGACCACTGGTTTTGGTTTTTGTGATATCAACTTCAGTATTGTTACCGGAACGATAGATGTCGATTTCAGTCTTTTCGGTTTTTGGTGGTGCAGGGGTGTGGGCACGACGGGGAGGTGGGGGTGGACTTGGAGCTGGAGCTCTTTCGAAACCTTATTTATTAGTTAGTAAGGGTAAACTATAATTATCGTGGGAATGCTAGCTGAACTTACCGTGATCGATATGACGATGATGTGTAATAATTTCTCGGTGAATGGGTGGTGCTCGAATAATCTCTGGGGGTGGGGTTGGTGGGGGAGATGGTGATGGAGAAGGTTCTCTTTCTCTCTCTCTTTCAACAATTCGGGTGTGAATTCTCTCAACTTGTGGTGGTGGGGAAGGGGTTCTCTCTCTCTCTCTTTCACGCTCAATAATTCTCTCACGAATGCGAACTGGAGAAGGTGCTGGAGGAGATGGTGAACGCTCTCTGAATCTTTGTCTTGTCTCTATAACTCGTGCGCGAAGTTGTGGTGGGGGTGATGGAGATCTTGGAGTTTCCTTTTCTCTTTCAACAATTCTTGTTCGGATTCTCTCGGCTGGTGGAGAAGGCTCTCGTACTCCAACCTCACTTCTTACAATTCTCTCACGAAATCGTGGAGGAGAAGGAGATCTTGCTCGTCGCACAAGTGGTCCGTCATTGAATGTTTCTCTTTCGCGTTCTCTTACGACTATTTGACCTGGCTCTGATCGCGTGTAATCATCTCGTAAGAAATCCAATGAACGTCTTCGAGGTCTCTCTGGACCTCTTCTGGTACTGAAGTCAATAGTCTCTTCATGATCACGCTCTCTTACTCGAACTTGAGCTGGTGGTGGAGCTGTCCCTCGATAATAAGTATCACGCTCATCAAATTCCGTCACTCGAGACGGAGCGCCATGTCGAGACATGTTTGGTTGCTTGTCTTGTTGCTTGTATGGACGATATGCTTATTGAAAGCGTTTGTTTGTATTCGAAATGTTGTAGTATTTTAATGATGTCGGGAATATAATAACGTATGTGAGATATGAATCACTTATTAGGTATCTACCCACAGAGTAGATGGGTTACGTGTTTGGTAGATGTGAGACCGAATGAGCCAAGTGAGAGAAAAATCAAAAGAAGAAAAATGACGAGGCTGGAAGATGGACGGGTTTTGTATAATGGACAATGATGGTGGAGGAGGTGTTAGGTGGTGGTATTGACTGAAGGTAATAGAAATGAATAGATGGGATGACGAGCTACTGGAGGGGCTTGCGTCGGTTGGGCTGATTTGGGTATCTGGAATTGGCTCGTGAATAAAGTTGAAGAGGTGTGCAAGGTGTGTAAGGTGCGCAGGGTGTGTGGTGTGTAAGGTTTCGTAAATCCAATCCCAGTCGATTGCCCCGGTGCCCAGCTTGGATGGAGATGTTTTGCCGGTGAATGAATGAGATAAATGAGATAAATAAGATAAATAAGACTCCAAGAGTCAATCAGGTCTTGAATCAAGGTGGGGAGGTGAGCGGGAAAGAGATCTCGGGTGGGTTGAATTTTTTATGGAAAAAATGACTTTGAAGTGGGATTTTCCTCTTTTCCTCTTTTCCTTGACTTTCCTCGATTGTGGTGAGATCTAGAAGCGATAGAAAGCTGAAATTGTTGGTGGGGGATTCCGCATGTAATCCGTAATAAGAATTCCAATCAATCAATCAATCAATCAATCAACCTAGGTAGGTATTGAAGTTGTGAATACTTTGTTGTCACCGGTTGAAAAATGGAGAAGAAGATCATAGAAATATCCTCTCGTCTTTTCTCGTCTTTTCTTTTCTTTTCCTTCCTTTTTTCCTCTCTTGGTCCTTTGGACCTTTCTCTCTTTTCTTTCCTCTGCACTTCTTCTCAAATCTTCTTTTCCCGCAATAAGATGTGAAATATGAAATATCAAAACGGGTAGATTTCCTATCGCATTTGATTGGCTGGCAACGAATTCTTGGACTGGACGGGGTAAATAAAGATTCACACAATTGAAGAGAGATCAAGGTCCCGGTAGTGTTACTCGGTCCAATTCACGTCTGATGTAATGGTGCAGATATCCACACCAGGAATGGTTGATGCTTTGGAATTTGGAGTCAATTGAAGACGGAATGGATTGGATGGTTAAACACAACCACACGTCTAGGGTAAATGATTCGCGGACGGAAATGCGAAAAGAAATGGAAAGAAATTCGTATAAACTCGTGAGATTCGTGAGAACGTATGCAAAAACAAGATCGAGAATTAAAAAAGAGGTCGGTCAATGAGAAAGTATAATATGGATGAGGTAAGGTTGTTCCTTGAGCGGCGCGTACGATCGTTGGGTTGATGATGATTGTTTGAGCCCAAAGTTCCTGGTGCTTTCTGATACAATATAATTCGAGGCGGGAGCAGGGAGGGGGGAGGAGCAGGAGCAGGAGCAGGAGGAGGAGTAGTATGAAGAAGAAAAGCCAGGGAAAGAAAAGATCATGAAGTTAATAAAAAGACAGAAAGAAGGTTTGTAATAAGTCAGTCACATCGAGAGATAGTTGTATTCATCATGGTAATAAGTGTAAGCTTCAAGATGGGTCTGTTGGTCACTGACAGCGGCTCTACTTCCTGGCTATTAAGAGGGAGGTCGACTTGAAGGTCTAGTGAGCCGCCCTTGAAAGCGTCCTTCAACAACGTGCTTCCAATCTCCAATCCAGAAAAGATCCAAAATAGAAGAAATAGAAGATTATCATTTGTTCCAACTAAATTGTGGAATTTTGGATCGAGGGGTGCAAAAGCGCTGCGCTTGAAAACCGAATTAGGTGAACATAATTGCCGCCAACATCACATGTAATTGAAGATATCTCCTCTTTGGATGGTGGATAAATCCTACATGAACAGTGGCATCTTTCTTCTTGCATGAACATTCCTTCGTCAGTACCTAGTTCAGCAAAGGCGTTTCAGCTCATGCTTTGGTTGGTAGTGGAGAGAGAAAAGAGAGGCTGAGTTCCTCTTTAGACTCATGAACCATCTGTTGGTCTGGCGACCTGGGCACTCCCGCAGCGGACCATCCGTTGGACTCAGTACTGTACTGACTTGAGACTTGGAGTGGAGCACCAAAGGTTCAATTGTTGGTTACAGATGCCGCCAAGGTATGGTAAAAAGTCTCCTCTTTACATATATGAGCCACAAACCATAGCCTACTTGCAATTTCGCTCTATCGACAGCCATAGATGGGGAGTGTTGCCTTCTTCGCTGAGGATTCGGGTTGTAACTTGTATCCAACGGTAAGAATTTACTATCTACCTACCTAGGTACGACGAGTGAGAAACACTGGCTGACTGGTTCATTCATTGACTTTTGAGTCGTATGTCTCTTCTTCTCTCGTGCTCTGTTCTTGTGATACCAAAGTGTGATGTGATGTCGATGGATTCGAGTGGGGTCTAGAATTCAAATATACTTGGTTTCGTCGGTTGCTGACCATGAGAATGAGAAGGGATGAACGCTCTTTTCTTCAGATGAACGTCAAGAACAAGAATTTGTCTTGATTGTTTGAATTCTATTTCGGGGTTTCCTTTTGTCGAAATGAAACATTTACCCTCATGACTTGAATACTTTTTGTACCGTCGAAAGAAGTACTAGCTCAGAGGTTAGGTACTAGGTAGGTTCTTCATAAACTTTGAGGTTACGTCGACCGAGTAGGAGCACTTTGCTTGAACGTAATTTGGTGGGTTTGAGGTTCGCCAGCTAGATTGTGATAAATAGCTGGTACAGTAGTCAAGATACCTACAAACAGATTGACTTGTATGACAGAAGGTCAATAACGGATATTGGGGTATGTGAGGCTCCGTTAATATATCTGGAGCCTAGCGACAACTTGGCTTGCAGCAGTGAAGATGGACGGATCATGGTGAGGGTCCACTGTACTCAGGTGTTATATCTGTATTCAAAATTGATCAAAGAAATCCTCGATATGTTGAAAGCCCTTTCTTCTCGAATTAGAAGAGTAAAGGAGTGTTTAGATTCCAAATATCAATCAGGAAGGATATCGAAGAGCTTATAAAGAAGCCAAGATTGAAAGGTTATGTGATTGTCGAAACTTTAGCCTGCAAGTTATCTAGATGTCAACCTACCCTTTGAACTGACGGAACTCGAGATGTAAGTTTTTTTTTTCTGATAAAAGGGGATAAAAGGGGATAAAAGGGGAGTGCATAAGACACTCGAGTATAGACAAAAGTTATTGACGGTTTTTCTTTCTTGCTACAAAGTTCCTAGATATAGAAGTCACTGTATAAAGAAATCCATCCATCCAAGCTAAAGTAAGGTTAGGAACTAAGTGTTTTGACAAGTTAAACTACTTCCTAGTATCTATTACTATGATAGTCCGTTCAAAATATACCGAACCCACTTGTCAGAAGCATGGAGGGGTAAATCTATCATTGGAAGGTACAGCTATCAGACGTTTTCCGACTTTGTACCATAGATCTAATTGAATTTCAATCAAAGCTTGAACTATAGGAAGGTCCAGATTGATGTAACGAAGAGCTTATTAGCATTGTTAGATTCCTTGGAGATCGGACTGACGAGTATCGAGCGGGAGATATACTAACAGTCGCAGTTGTTGGAGTCGCATTGCAAGTACCCCGTCTCCAGTATGGTAGAACCTGAAATGAGAAACCCCCCATAAGGCTGCCCCTCGATTGTACGATGTGGAAGTTTGGACGGATGGACCGAGAGTCTTATGAGATGGTAGCAGGTACTCACTCACTTTGGCGATCAACTTGTCGAGGTAGATGGGCTGCTGTACGACAGGTTATGAGTATCAGACCTAGTATGTCCTACCCGCAAGATCAATGATGAATGTGGAATGAAAAGGGGTGAATGTTGAAATGAATCAATTTGGTAAGATAAATGTTGACACTCTTTCCATCTGTTCATCTTCCCAGGTTCTCATTCGGTAGGGAGACTAGAGGTTGGTAGATCAAGTGACTCTATCTACATCTTCAAGTTCAAGTTCAATTTCAATTTCAATTTCATCTCCATCTCCATCTCCATCTCCATCTCCCCTTCCCCTCCCCTCCCCCTCTCTAATCGATAAGAGTGTTCCTGCATTCGTTTGGTGGGGTTGATCTCTCAACCCAATCCCTAACCAGCAACGCGACCGTACTAGAAAAGGTTAATCGCTAGCTAGATGCCTACTAACTCCCTAGTAAATCCCCCCAAACTCCACTACAACTCCACAACTCTCTATGTCATCGACTCAGCTCTCTCAATAATTTTCCTTCATCTCAAATCTTTCTACCCCATTTTCCCCTTCTTCTCTTTCCTTCATATTGGTTCTTTTCTGGGGGGTTGGAAAATACATCATGTTCTTTTAATTGGTAACCTGTACTACAAAAACATACGGCTTCCCACCTACCGTATGGTCTCGCGGGTAATCGCATAAAATACCTACCAACTGTTTTGAAAAGCCTTTCAGTGCATTACACTTTTCATCAAATTCTCCGACACATTAGGGGCTCCCGCATTCACCATGGCACAGCAATCTCCATCGCCTGCTGATTCTCTCGCAGCCATTGCAACTCTCACGGATGAAATAACCCTTCAGCAAGTTTATCTAGTTTCCTTGAACGATTCCTCGGGAGATCAATCATCGCGCAGAGCAGAAATCGAGGCTGAGATTGCCATTCTGAAAAAAGAACTTTCCACCCTTCAAGCTTCCGCCTCCCACGCTCAAGCATCTTCTACTTCTCAGAATAACTCCTACATACGACCATCCGATATAGCTCGTTCGAAGATGAATAGCGCGGTCGGGCGAGGAAGCAATGCTGGCTATCAATGTTAGTCTTATCCTGATTCATTTCCTTTAGATGCGAGGCCACGGAACCCAGATTTACCTCGTTCCCTCATCCGCGTTCAAAGTTTCTTCTACTAGTGTTGAGAAATAGTTTCTGCATTTTGTTCATTCTTCTCCCCAGATCTAAACTCAAATTTGACGATCAAAATTAACTTGCCTGCAGTCAAAGAAGAAGGCGAGTCAATGGTATCATTATCCTCCACAGCTTCAACACCTGGTTCTGGAGCCTCGATGATTGGTTCTGGCTCACATCGAGCTGACCTCCCCACTCGAAAGCGTACTCTTAGCAAACATTTAGATACGGTTGTCCCTTTCGAAGAAATCAAATCTCGACGAACAACACCGAGTCCTTTTGCGACAGGTGTAACAACTCCTTCGGGAAGCTCAGGGTATGGGTTATAATGCAAATGGTGATGGATACTTTGACCTCACTATGCTTGTCCCTCATTTGATCATCAATCATCGATCTCATAGTTCCTTCGTCAATGGTAAACTGGAAGAGAATACATATGCTAATTTGTCCAAATATTAGGGATGATGATATAATAATGTTCGATCCCACCTTTACCGAACACCAGAAGCAGGAAGAACAAAAAATATCAATGGAGAGGCAAGATGCAGAGTTTGCTAGTAGCCTTGTAAACTCAAATAGCCCCGTCTCAAACACGCCGATCGCTAGCTCGAAGCCTTCCGCTTTCAATAGGCTGTTCGGAGGTCACTCAGGACGTCTCTCACAAGCTTCCACCTCTCGCGACATCCAAGCTGCCAAGTCCTCCGCGATGTCAAACACTTTCGACACTCATAATAACAGTTCCTCAAGTAGAAGTCTTCCGTGGAAAAGGGGTTCAAGTTCTAGTCTCAAGGCCGAACCACGAGCATTGCCTTATGTTCAACCTTCATCTTCAGGGTTCTTTGGCTGGGGTTCTGGTGGTACTACAATCAATGCCGAGCCACGAACATCGTCTTATGCTCAACCTTCACCTCCAGGTTTCGTTGGCTGGGGCTCTCGTGGTACTACAGGTATGCACCAAGAAATGTCTTTTACTGCTACGAACTCCAATCTTATGCCATTTCCAGAATCGACGATGCCTGGTACCTACATTGATGATGCGGCTAGTGATTCATCGCTTGAAATCATCGAACCTTCCGCTTTCAAGGATAATGGTCGTCAGAAAGCCACAACTTCGAGGACTACCAATTATTATGGTCAGCCAGGTCCAGTTTATTCATCAGAAACCCGTGCTTTGGGAGATACTGCTATTAGCCGTTCAAACACCAGCTTACAGGGTGTTTCTGCTTTACCTAACTGGGCAAAAAACTCTCCAAATGTAATGGAAAATCCAAGTGCAAATATCAGTGATACCTCGGCTTGGATGTCAGGAAATCATGCCCATGGAACGAATCATGAAAATCGAGTAGGAGAGCAGAATATTTATTCACCACTGTGGGAGAGGGATCAACCATTTAGTTCCTACAATGGATTGAACGCTGACTATAAAGATTTTCCCATGAATGGCACACCTTCTGCCATGGCTTACAATAGCACAGATCCTTCTGGTGCATACCCATTCGGTTACTCCAATTCCACAATGCCTCTGACTGTTCCAGGATCAATAACTGGAGGTATGCATTCTTCACATCCCAAAAACAGTATGCATGGGCCAGGCCCGGCTTTCAACATTGATTCTATGCCAGAACACGGCATGGGTTCAACTAATTTTAATTCCTTAGGAGGCACGCTTAGTAATAGGGGCAATCTTTTAGACGTTGAATCGAACCTTGGCTTCTTATCTCCCTCCTTCGCGTATACCCCTCAGATGACGGAACGAATGGAACACGTCATCAATGATCCTAGAAAAACTGAAAGAGAGATCAAAGACCTGTTGGAGAATATCAAAGCTGAGATTGAGATTCCGTTAGAGGACCGAGAGGGAACACCTGAAGGATTGAGATATCCGTTGGTTAGTTGAAGCCCGGCTCAATTAGACCTTTTGAAGATTTTTTGCTAACTTGTAATCAGTACGAGCACCAAAAAATTGCTTTAACATGGTTGAAACAAATGGAGGAGGGCAGTAACAAGGGGGGTATCTTAGCCGACGATATGGGTCTAGGCAAGACAATCAGTACTTTGTCACTCATTCTATCACGACCATCAACCGACCGTACGTGCAAGGTATGTTTTCTTTGACGATATGACATTACTGTCTTCTGATAGTATCTAGACTACACTTATAGTTGCGCCTGTTGCCCTTCTTCGCCAGTGGAATAGCGAAATAGTTTCGAAGACATTGCCGACGCATAAACCCAGTGTCTACATGGCTCATGGAAACAGCAAGAGATCTACTTGGGATGATCTCCGACAATATGATGTAGTCCTCACAACTTACGGGACTTTGGCTGCGGAGTATAATCGACTTATCAAATTCGAAGAAGAGAGCAGACAAAACGGTATCACGGATCCTGATCCAAAACAGATGGCCAAGGATTTCCCGCTTTTAGGCCCTAAGAGCAGATTCTATCGTGTGATTCTTGACGAAGCACAAAGCATCAAGAACAAAGCCACCAAATCAGCCGCTTCGGCCTGTAAACTAAGAGCGCTGACTAGGTTTTGCCTTACCGGCACACCGATGATGAACAACATTACCGAGCTTTATTCGTTGATTAAGTTTCTGCGCATTCGACCTTACAGCAACTGGTCTGCCTTTACAAAGGTATGTATATCCAGTATACCTTATCTATAGAGACTGTTTCGTTAACAATGATAGGATTTCGGCTGTCTCTCTAAAGGAGGTTCATCACACACAGAGGAATATCTCAGAAAGACCATGCAACGTCTGCAAGGTGTTCTGAAGGCCATTCTCCTCCGTCGGACGAAGCAATCTAAAATTGATGGAAAGCCGATTATCAACTTACCACCCAAGTATGAACATATTGATCATGTTGTTTTTAGCAAAGATGAGCAGGAATTTTATCAAGCTCTTAAGGATAAGACTCAACTTCAATTCAACAGGTACAGGAAGGCTGGAACTGTTGGGAAGAATTACTCGAATATCCTTGTCTTGCTACTTCGTCTTAGACAATGCTGTTGCCATCCGCATCTGATTATTGATCTTGAAGAAGCCGCAGCGGGCTCGGCAGAGCTCACAGAGGAACAGATGATTGATCGCGCATTGGCCCTGGAACCAGATGTTGTCTCAAGACTACTTGCTGCAGATGGAGGATTCGAAGTAAGTTGATTAGTATATATTTTGAAATATCTTTACTAACATCCCAAGTGTAACATCTGCTACGATGCAACTCCAAATCCCAGTATCATCATCCCTTGTGGACACGATAATTGTCACGATTGTTTGATGGCATTATCCGAGCAGGCCAAGCTGGCAGCGCGAGGCGACGATGATGGTGCCACGGCCCTCAAATGTCCAAGTTGTCGTGGAAAACTCGACATGGCGAATCTTATCGACTACAGAACTTTCAAGAAGACACATATGCCATCGCCAAAAGTCAAGGAGGAAGAGATTGTCGACGATGCCGTCGAAAGTAGTGATGACAGTAACAGCGACACCGAATCCGAATCCGACTCTGATACCATATCTGAGGATGTTGACGAGAATGGAAATTTAGACGGTTTCGTAGTCCCTGATGAGATCGAGGATGATGAGGCTGAGGCTGAGCAAGGTGACGATGAAATTAATTTAGCATCGAAGGTTCCTAAATCTAAGTCAAAGTCAAAATCTAAGATAAAGGCGAAGAAAAACAAGGGCAAAGGGAGGGAGGTTGAAAAGCAGAAGCAACATCTTTCAATTGCCATGATGAAGAAAGAGGCTTCTAGATCTATTGCGGGTCATAAGAAGTACATGAGATATCTTCGAAAGAATTGGCAATCATCTGGAAAAGCCGATAAGTGCGTCGAACTGCTTGAGAAATTTCAAAACGAAGGTGAAAAGACAATTATCTTCAGTCAGTTTGTGACATTCCTCGATCTCCTCCAGGTGCCCATCGGAGAGAAGGGTTGGAAATGCGAGCGCTACGATGGAAGTCTCAATTCCAAACGTCGAGACGAGGCAATCAAGCGATTCCAGGACAAATCGGATTGCAATATCATGCTCATTTCTCTCAAGGCCGGTAATGCAGGACTCAACCTGACCGCAGCATCTCGAGTTATTATCCTCGACCCATTCTGGAATCCATTCATCGAGATGCAAGCAGTCGATCGTGCTTATCGCATTGGTCAGATGAAAATAGTTCAGGTTCATCGCATTTTAGTACAAGAAACAGTTGAAGATCGTATCATGCAGTTACAAGAACAGAAAAAGAGCTTGGTAGAGTCCGCACTTGACGAAGGTGCTATGAAGAGCGTAGGGAGACTTGACGAGAAGCAACTGGCTTTTCTTTTCGGTGTCTGAGACATTTGAACATGTTTTCCTTGACTCTCATACGTGCTCAATTGCTTTTTGAAATGGGTTGTATAATCATTATGAGGCGTTTTGGGGAACTCATGATTACGATTTGGCTGGTCCTATTTCTTTCTTTGCACACATTGGCATGACAAGCAGAATAAAACATGGCGAAATTTTGGGCTGGGTTTGAACGAAATGGTATGGGATGGGATAGATAGTCTTGTGCATTGCAAGGGGAAAAATATGGTCTGGAATTCTCTTTTTGTTTGCTCGCTTTCGTCGGATCTTGATACCCCATCACCATGGCGTTTTTTCACAGGGTCTGATGGATGAATTTACGATGTATTACGAGCGGTGGAAAATGAATTCAGCATGTTCTATTTTTCACATCATCTGTGATCTTTTTAGTTTCTTTAAGTTTGTTAGGGGAGTTGTCAATGAAGTGCGTAAAATTATTGAGGTTGGGATTGGGATTGGGATTGAAAATGTATATTAATATAATTAAAAACTAAAAGATAGAACTCTAAAAATCTGAAGATGAAGTACCAAATGAAGGAATGAGGAAAATGCATAGATGGCTGTTTTAAATTCTGCGGAGGAGCGGATGGAGAAAAGAAGAGAGATACGATACGATACAGTACAGTACGATACAGTACAATTCATACAAATAGTCACGCGCATACTACCGTGGTATGTCACAGCGATAATAAATATAATTAGATGACGTAGGGATTTCGTTCTCTTGTTGGCTCTCGTCTCGATTCGACGGGCCAAACCTTTAGGTAGCAATCAAGATCAGATCATACATCACCATCATCATCATCATCATCATACTTTGTGTTTGTTTGTTTGTTTGTTTGTTTGGAATATATATTAAAACTTTTATCTATCTGTGGGCATACTAATTTCATTTCATTCCTTTGTAGATAGATAGGTAGGTTAGGTAGGTAGGCAGGTTAGGTGTTCAACTCAACTCAACTCAACCACTCCCCCCATCCATCCATCACATCACATTATCCCCATCATTAATCAAGAGTAAGAGTTTCTTCTTTTCCTCCTCTTCCCCCCTATCTCCCTGCCTCCCTTCCCTCACTTCACTGTACCATTACCACCCTTCTGAATACTCGTCGAATATCCATGCACACACCTCTCATTCCCCGAGCAAACCCAATACCCCAAGACGAACCCAGCAAATAAAAGAGAAGAGAAGAGAAGAAGTAAAAACGTCGTGAAATCCTCCTTTCCCCTTTCTCCCAAAAGAAAATATGATACGCATACAATACATAGGGTATAATGCATTTGACCATCCCAAACCATTCCGTCCCATCCAAGCATCCATTCATCCAGATTGCGTTAGCTAGCTAATTATTCAGTCACCTAGTTAGCCACTATGGATAACTCATGCAGATGCTATAATATAAAATGTAAAACATTACATTTCCCGAGCAGCGACCAGATCAAGAAGTTCTCCACCTCCAGCAGATGAAAGAATAGGAACTGGTTCTGTTCTTTCCTCGCTTCTTTCTTTTCGTATCAGTTTCCGTATTCCCAAGTCGTAGTACGTATGGTGACGAAATAGGAACAATAGGATAGACGTAGAAGTGACCAGTTGAACTTGTATTCATGTAACTGAATGACCTTGGTCCAAGAAGTGAAGATGTGGATCATCTATAGATGATGTAAAAGTGCTGTAACGCCATGATAACGCCATTCCGAGGATTTAGCTAAGTTGATCATCTCTGTCGATCTGATACGATTGGGGTTATTGCGCCTTCAATTTTGCGCCAATTTCGAATGCCCATTGCCCATGTTGATTTCCATGCTGATTTCCATGCTGCTAATGTCGAGTATAATTGTTGTGTATTGCCGAGTTTTTCTGGCCACGAGTGTCTTCCGGAAGAATGGTATAGTGTATTCGTCTCAAAAGGACGACAAAAATATTAAACATCTATTCACATGCATGTATATAATGCTCAGATGAAGAAAGAAGAGAATCCTATTGCGCCAAATAGCGACAAGACCCCAAAATCCAATCTTGCTACCGGAATCGCAAAAGATTTGCTAGGACTAGGTGTAGCAGTCGCAGTGAAAAGACCTGTAAGGATTTCTGTAGTGGTGGTCACTGAGGCAGACTTAGCAGTCCCAGAACCTGTTGATGTTACAGTACTAGTAGGAGCACTGTAATCTGAGGAATCACTGTAAAGTACTCCATCGATAATTGCCCCTTTCCCAGCGATGATCATCTGCCGTTCATCTTCCGTACATGTTCCGGGAATATTCCGAAGGTAGCATGTATTTGTTGGGGATGGTGGGAGACTTGTGGTATGTGTGGCATTCATGGGACCAGTGGTATTGTAGACTGATGAATTGATGGTTTCTCCTGTTGAGAGAGAGGTGCCCATTATGATTCGGGCAAAAACTTGGAAAGCGGTCTCGGGTTGGTAGGCCGGGACACTGTGACCTGCGTCGTATATGCGACTAAAGGAGAGATTGCCAAACTGCCTCACAACACCACCAATATAAGAGGTATTAGTTATGATAGGAGCGTAGCCAGCGGCTGGAAACTTGGATGCATATTCAGAAGAGACTTGTTCTGCGACAGCTAAAGATATAGCTTCACCACCAAGCCAATTACAAATATAATCCCTATCACCATACATCAACCCAACATGAATTCCAGAATTTACGAGCGCAGCTAATTCTGGTACGTAAGATTTACGCTCGTAGTCGCCAGTGGATGTGAAAGCAGCAACAACTTGTAGATTTGTCTCGGTGTAATTGACTGGTGAGCCGATAGCAGATTGAAAACCAGCAGTATTGAGGTACTCGAGGTATGTACTGGGTGGAAATGAATCAGGCAGATTATGGGAAATATCGTACACACTTCTTCCAGCGTCATAATATGGTTCCAGCACGTTCGTCAAACAACTCTTGTATGCATTGGAACAAGCACTGTTGACACTTGAGACATTGCCCTCATTTGTAAGATCCTGACTTTGCACAGCGGCTCGACATTGTGTAATTAGGTCCTTGCAGCCACCAGAAGCGTAAAAGTTGGCAGTCGCCAATTTTGCCCTTGTAGGATTGATAGCACTGAGGCCGAAGGTATTATTAACTGCAAAATCAGGATAATAAGGGGCTTGAATTAAGTCATCCACACAACCATTGACTATTCCGAGTGATTTGAGTTTAATATCAATGGTTGTGCTTTGAGATAACGTGCCGTTTGCACGCTTCTCGTTCTGCTCTTCCCAAAGGGTTGCGAAAGCTGGACCATATTTTCCACCATAACTCTCTGCGAACAAGTGAATATTCATAGCGGAACTATTATTTGGAGCATATTGTGGAAAGGCACCAAGAAATCCTTGGAGCATGTGCCATATAGCCATTCCCGCTATCTCAGTAGTATTGGCCGTATTATTGACGTTCAGAGAGCTGAACGTTCCATTTAAAAAGGTATCCGCAGGCTGCGAATTTGGGAGAGTCTGCTGTGGAGTATATAGATCGGACGTGAGAAGGTCGAGAGAGCAATTAGTAGGCGTATCATATGAAAATCCAACTTGGTTGGGCTACACATGTAAACGTCAGCTTGTGGAAGTGGGTATGGCGCGTTCATGAGCAGAACAGTGGTATTTGGCCAACACTCTCGTGAACACCTGGAGAGTGTAAAACCTAGCAAATTGTAACAGATGTCCATGTATTCCAATTGAGATCGAGTATCTCGATTGGTACAAGATAATCTCGAGAAGTGCGCATTGAAAGAACCATCAGACAGGGAAACAAAACTCAAGATGCTGCATACCTGATCATATATAGCATATTAGAAGCTCTATCCCAGCCCCAATCCCTAGCTTCCGTCGCAAACTTCCCCTGTGCTACTTCAATAACCTCACAAGGACCATTTTCATTGAAAAGTCCAATCATCGAGCTGGAGCCTGGCCCTCCATTCAGCCATATCGTAAGTTGATCTGTAGGATCTCTCGCAGAGATAAACCAAAAGAATGTGTTCGTCGCATAACTGCCCGGTATACTAACCCAACCTGTATATTGTTCTTGAGAATCGAAAACCGTTTGGCAGGTGCCTGTTGGTGGTGTTTTGTAAGAGATGGTGATATTCCCATCGACTGGGGACGTTATTCTAGTGAGGTTTGAGATAGGTGGATATTGAGCGAGTGTGAGGGGCAGAAGCACCGAAAGAAAGAGAGAATAACGCATGATGGTTCACTCATATTTCGACCAAGATCGGAGGAAAGAGAGTCGAATAAATGAAAGTCTCCAAGTGAAGTTGTTGATCCTACGGTAATCCTACGAGAAAATGTATTGGCTTAGCCCCCAAGCGACGTCTTCATGCAAGGGTCAGAAAGCTGCTGTGCCTCGTATCTTTTGTGGTTTTTGATGAAATTTTATGATAATTCATCGACGATCCCTTTTTATAACTTTGTTTTTTTCTTCAATTGTATTGATAAGAACAATATAATTTGAGGCAGTACTGAGAGGTGTGTGAATGAAGAGGCTTGAGAAGCGTTATATGCATTGTCACTTCATTCTCAAACGCGCGCGCATTCTTCTTTAAAATTCTTTCTTCAACAATTTGCGCGCCAGTTACGAGTCAATTCTTTATTTAGCTTTTCCCCTCCTTAACGGTTAATGTACGAAATACTTAGTCAGAACCTGTGTGCGATGGCGGATGGACAAAACTAGTCTCCTAGTATTGCTATTACGGACTCCGGAGAGAAGAGAGATCAAGAGAGCCACCCATTTTTCTCCGCTTGTGGGTGATCCTGCATTGTACTTCGGTGGTGCCCCAACTCTTTCTGTTATCTTCATTGGATACGTGAATTGATCAGCTCCCAAGGCCGCTGATTGTTGGATCTGGATCGATGGCCCTCTTCAATACGTTGCAACGCTTGATAAGTGCACCCTTAGGTCGTTTCGCGAAGAATTGATATACACTTCATTTGGGTCACTATGAACTTTAAAATGCAAAGTGGTTGGTAATATAACAGAAGAATGCTACCGGTACATTGCCAAGTTCATTGCAATCACTTGGATCAATCACGACCAAATTTTGGGTTTTACAAGCCTACACCGATCTCTTAGCATGCAGTCATGTGTGAGCACAGCTCTTTGCAACACTTTGCTAATATCTCAAGGAGGGTTCAGCACTTTCAATAATCTGCAAACTAGTGTCTAACTCTATCAACGATTGCACGATTCCCATCCACTCAGAGATTCGAGTCTTGTTCTGATAGATAAGGCACAGATAATAGGTCAACAAGTCCCGTCCCGCCCGCTGTCCACTATTGAATGTCGTTGCTCGGATCATGCCCGTACTTGTGATTTGTGGTCTCTAAGGTAATTACATTTCTATTTTCGTGTGCCTTTCTTTTTGTATATATATATATATATATATGCTAGTCTCAGCTATCATGGAGGTGTCTGCCTTTCCCATGCAGGCGATAGGATTTTTTATTATACATCTCAGTTCCAAGTGGTAACATTCTTGTGAAGAATAGGGAATGACACTGCTGGGTAGTTCCAGGGGAATGAGGTTTCTGGAACCTAAAGTGATAGTTTTGATCTAGTCAAATGTTGTCTAGTTGTTTTTTAAATTAGTAGCCTCAATATATTCTCACCAGCCATCACCTTTTGCTTGCACACAATTAATGACATATAAGACATGGCGATATGAACACAATCAGTCCAAGACGAATTTCATGTTTAGCCAGCGCTACAACTTGTTCTCGTCTTCCTGCTAAAGCTTTACAAGTCGATGGCTGGGTGCTAGACTTAATTAGCGGTATGATAATTCGCATTTTAAGTTCTTCATTGTGTTGTTCTTTTTGCTTCAGGATACTCCGTTTTGAGAAGAAATTAGGAGGACTTGCCATGAACTGGTGTCTCCAAAGCGTCATGGTCCCGTCGATATAAGCCTCTTGTGGTCGGTCACCTATTCAGATTGCTTTCTGGCCCATCGACGAGGTTATTCCTTTCGCATCATCATCGGCCGTTCGAGTTATTTTCCAAAGATGAATCACGACTCTTGAAAGCAATGATATCGAAACTGCTTTTGCTGCATCATTAGAGATGCCAACTTTGTGGATATGTTTATACAATTCCCGGGCAATATATATGAAGGGCTCATAATACCCAGCGGACATCTTCTCATACTCCAAGGTCTAATGAATAGCTGGGACGATTAGCCTTGAAAGAGAACATTGGATTTCTATTTGGTTGTCGGCATTACCTACGCAGGAAGTAAGTTCTTATGTCCGAATTAATTACCGAGGGGAACGAACAGAATCCGGTGCTTTGGATTTGTCGATTCAATCATGAACAATCCGAAATACAGATTCTGAACCATTGGAGTCATTTAAATGAAATAGACTTTGAAAATGAGGTCGGCCAAAATGAGTCGCAACGCTCATATGACTGTCTCGCTGATCGTGGACTCGAATCATGGTTGAGTCTTGTCTTTTTGTCTATTAATATTAGTCCATGTTCCATTTCCTTCACAGTTTCATTCTTTACCAACCTCTGTTCAACAAGCAATTTTTTGGTAAGTAATCTTCTTAGTCCCATGTTTTTGATGGAGTAGAAACCTGAATTTGTTAGAAAAATCACAGTAGAGCATTCCACGCAACACGAACACTGCCAGAAAGTCCTATCTCAGCCCGGTGCCGGTCTGGATCAATACAATATCTTAAATCGAAATTCATCGATATAGATTATACAACAACGCCATATTTACACTAGACAGCCCGCTCTTTTACGACTTCTTGAAAATCTAGTGCCATCACACCGATTTCAGCGCTGCTTCACTTTCTACATCCATATCCCCACACTCGAAAATCTCGATCATCATCCCTCACCTCCCCCTATCCTCTAACATCTATTACCTAAGGAAATCAAAGAAAACGGCTTTCTGGAGCTCAAGAAAAGACAAAATTTTGCCTCCATCAGGTCCAACAGGGAAGAAAAACAAGGGCTCGAACAAATCAGTACAGCAGGCAGCCAAACCCAAGGAGGACACCAGGCACGCAACGGCGGCTACCAGTGGTGGTGAACAAACAGGCGATCGTAGTACTGGTGGTACAGATGCCAGTCGTCACAGCTTTTATATCGCTGATAAAAAACGCGAGAGCTATCATGACAGCTGCGATACTAGTGAGCACACCAATGATGAGGTGCAGAACTTTCACGAAGTTAGAGCCCATGAGCGAGGAAGTTAGAGCCCATGAGCGAGGAAAGCAGTAGAGGAATAAAGAGGAGAGGGGGAAGCAGATGGGGTACGGTAGCGAGAGTTCTAGATCTTGGGATGATTAAGAATCACAAGAACGATGGTGAACGTTGAAATTTGGAATCAAAGGTGTGAGAGCAAGGATTATTGAGCATTGTCGGGTAGTGGTTACATGATGTATGTTTTGTCGAGACGGGCAGGGTGGATTTGAACGATTGGAGGAATATATGCATGGCTTTCTAAACCCGTCTTGCAGAACTGTGATGCAACGTGAACAAGGAACCCTTTCGATCACATATCGTGAGCACATAAAAGTCACACATTTTTTTTTCGTTTTTCGTTCCAGACTCAGTCACCAACCAATACATATCATGACTTATCCCCAAACATGAATCGCGATTTATCACAACATGATTCATCCCCCCACAAACTAACACACATGTAATGTCAACCCTATATCCTCGGCATGAACGCGAGTAAGACATGTGATTACGACAATATGTGAGATGTATTCCATACAATGAGATGACATGACACGAGTGAGTACACACACTCAGCCATGCCCTGCAGACCGAGGTATGGTTTGCATTTGGGATCGTCTCATACATGCAATTATGCGGCATAGTGTGGTGTGATATGAGAGCGTGTTCTCCGTATCAAAGTATCTCATATTTCGATTGAGGTGAATGATTGTACAGGGTAAATATGTTGATGCCACATTGCCTACTCGCGTAGGAAATGGAGGAGTTATGAAGCCTCATGAGTATTGCTTGACTGAGAGTGATTGAAGAAAAATTATATTCAAGAGATCTCATGTCAAAATCTGTCTTTATATCGAGTTTGGATTGAGCTTAGAGATTTCAAGCACATTCATTCTTTGAGTAGGTAATTATGTAGTCCATAGAACAGCAAATTTTCAACGCCATACCGTCGTACCTCACCATACCATGGCATGCCATTGGCCTCAAAACATATTCTTGAAAACCACAACAAGTACAATACAATCACTAAGCCCCTCCAGACTCAATAGGACAATGTCTCCTCGAACATCCAAACTACTCATCACAAACGAAAAAATCAGACTTTATCTTAAACATTCTGAAAAAAGATACATACCTACACATGCACACTTCCCCAGCTTCCTCATTTCTCAAGCTTAAAATGCACTTACCCCAATCTCAGACTCAGACTCAGCGTCCGTCTCAGTCCACAACCACCAATACCAACACCGTTATCAACACCACCACCAACATCCAATCTTTCACCTTTCCCTTGCCCCCCCTCAGTTCCCAATCCCCAATCCCCCAACTCCCCAACTCCCGACATACAACCGCCTGCGCACCCCAAACGCACAGCTCAAGCAACGATCTTCCCATCTCCCCTCCATCCAAACCCAACCCACCACGCACACACAATTCACCTACCGATTGATCCGGTACCTACCGCGCCCCATCCATCTCATCCCACCACGCCAACAAGCAAATTCCATGCACAGCACACCATCGCACAGCACATCACATCGCCGCACCTGCCCATGAGCTATCCGAGCAGAGAGTTCGCGCTCCACGAACGACGACGGCATTGCAGATCGTGGGGGTCCGTACTATACTATACTATACTATACTATGTATGGACTGCGCAGCCTGCGAATGCCGAGATGGATGCGGAATTTTGAGAACGCGGATGCAGAAGAAATGCGATGAATCATGATGGAAGACTCAAGTATACAAGCGCAGTACGCGGTTGAAAATTAAAGCGAGTGAATAGATGAACAAATGGTCAATTGAAAATGGGGGTGGATAATTTTAGATTGATGTTTGATAGTCAGGCATGACCATGGATGGCTACGAGTTTGGAAGTTGGATATCCATCCCCTTCTCATCGATTCATCGATTGCTCCATGACGCAAATTCTAGAGCGCCGATGTTGGATTCTAGATAGCAGTGAAAACCGTCAAGTCCCAGTCGTATCATTTTACCTCATGCCACAGCGATCATGTAACCATCCATTCATCCCACCCACCGCTACTCCCTCAAAGACAACCTTCGCCCGTACACAACACTCTATAAACCATCTCCAGTCATACCGCTGCATAAGCGACGCCACATCTTTTTACAAAATTACACATCAATATTGAGGGCTGTTAGTTTGCGTACTAATAAGTGGGAACTCATCGCCAAATCCATGTTTAGCAGACAGAAAAGAAAGCATTTGCGAAAAATTTCCCCACACAATTGAAATGGTCCAGAATTAGGCAAACAAATGCCTTTACTTGACACATAGTGAAAGTTTTAGTTGTGTCCCGGAAGTACTATTGTATTTCCGTGATGAGTTGTTAGAATTTTATATGACAGCAAGCTCAGTTCTAACTTATCTCCCCGTGCTATGGTGAGACTCTGATTTTGGTGTCAGTGGTGGGATCCTCGATTTTTCCTCAAGATCTACCTCAGATCAACTGGTATTTGGAATTGCATGATTGAGTCGTTTCTTTTGTGGTTACTGATCAAGCCGACACCACTTTGAGCTCAGCAACTGTGAGTGCAATACAGAGAAAGTGGACTGATCTTTTGGTTTCTGAGTATCTGAATTCAGCTGTCTTATGACAGTACCATGAGGCACAAGGGTATCCCCCTCACTGATGAAATGAAGAAGCAAATATATGAAATTTACTCAATTTAAAGCAACCAATGGAATCGGCGGTATGAATTCATCGTCGTAAACCATAGTGGAGGACTTCGGTTCTTGCTGATCAATCTCTGGGGACGAAGACCTATGATTTGTAGATCTTTAGGCTGTCAATATAACCCTCAAGGCGGTGTACAGATTTGTACGGTGTATAATTGTAACAATATCATAAATTGTTGAATCGTTCATCTCAGCGAGGGTCATGATATATGGCTTGATGCGTGCCGCTTCACACGACGTAAAATACTCTAGAAGAAACGAGGCTCCTTCAATCTTCGAGATCCACGTGGAGATTTCGAGACAAAACGCGACTGAGTGCTAGTCAGGACCGCATCTCAAACCAAAGCTCACGACAGAAGCCGCATTGCGGTAGTGCTTCCTATACAAAAGAGTGTAGGATGTTCCCTTCATTTGCAAATCCATTTTGCAAATCTTCAGGACACGAGTAGCGAGGCATATTGTTGGTGAGACAAAAAACTTAAAATCGAAACTCCCAGGGATTAACCCAGTCTTGACAGTGAAGCGAATATTTGAAGCATCATTAGGCGCATAAGTGGGATAGAAGTCCTTTAGTGGAGTGAAACAAGCCCATGATCTACCCCCAAAGGAATTTGATGTATGAACTGTTCAGCAGAAGGGGAAGACGTGGTATGCGCCACCGACTGGCAAAAGCTCTTCGGCTGCGGGAAAAACATAAGGATATGACATCTTCCCGTTTATTAGTTCTCATGCTAAATGCACTGATGTAACTATAGGTAAGGATGAGTAGTCAACTTTGTCTACTCTTCTGCCAGTGCTTCTTCAGCCTCTGCTCCATTGGACATATTTGCTGAATATGTAATCTCTTCGATCTATCCGAATGTGCCAAAACCAGAAATGCCACGAGGTGTAGAGGCGCTAGAATAGTAATCCCACCTCGGAAATGCTGCAGACAATCAAATATAGCATACCTAAACCAAAGAGTGTGTTTTCGGGACGGTTGATATACGTTAATCACTGTTTGCGGCGCAGCAATTTCAGCCCAATGATTACTTTTGATTCGGTGCCCCAAGAGTATGAATCGGAAAGTATCTACCGTATGAAACAAAGTCCTCGCAACGCATTGGCCACGTCGTATGCATTCTTGTGCCCTGCAGAATTGCATCGATCCGAATATGCCCTAGGTAGATGAGGGCAGGAGGGTAAGTTAGCCTATGCAACAGGCGGAACAAGAGCGTAATTAGCATAGCTGGTATTGAAAAATCAAAGAAATTAAACTTTACTAGGGTAGCATTGCATAACGTGCGAGACAGGTTCTCTATGGCCCAACGTCGTAGCTGAATAATGAAATCAATCAATCTAACCATAATTCAAACCCGAGAAGAAAATTTAGGGAAGCATAAGAGGACAATGCAACGTCATCTATTGAAACTTCCTGTAGAATGATAATGGAATATGGAAGCGACAAGGATCCCATCTGCCATGCCCAAGCACTTTGGTCACTTGGCTTGTTAACCTATTCGAAGCGGGATATCTCATCATGTTCCGGTCGGTCTGACCGGTTTCTTAATTGTTCTACTTTCTCTCGCCTTGCTTTGAAGTTGCATGATGATGATTCTTGAGTCCATAAAGACCCCACAGCATCCGAAGTCTCCGATATGAGGGTGAAACATTCATGTCCTTGTTCTAGAAGGTGTTAATGAAGCTTCTAGCGTCTTAGTATTATAGTTAATACGGGTCCAATCATATATTTAAAGTACTCGTGCGGCCAGAAAGTATGCGAATCCGAAGCTAGATGCACATACCACAGGATGGTAAACTACGACAGGAGTAACCTGGCTTTTCTAGCGGTAGAGTTGCATACCTACTTTGTGGCAGCACGAGTAATGGCTGTCAAAAAAGATTGCTGTGAGCCTGGTGATGGCACATCCTTGAAGCTTGACGAATCGTTGCGTTCCCAATCTTCTATTCCTGGTCAAATTGAAAGTCTGAAGTGCCATGAAAGCGTAATGTTCCGTTTCTGGAACGTTAGCGGTTAGCAACGAGAAAGCTAGATACCTTCCACTCTTTCCCTTGACATTGTGAGCGCTTGAACATGTAGTTCATCAATCAGGCTACCATCCAGCCAAAGTTACATCCTAGGATAAGATACCGAGAGCTAATAACATAGGAAAATAATGGACCAACATACTGCATGTGCCGTAATCAATTTGACATCAACGACCGCATACCTCGATGAATCAAACGTGAACCCCCGTCTAAGCAAGATCCTTGAAAGAGTTTTGATTTCTCCGAAAAATCAATCATCGTTTTCGGATATCCCTTATTAGGAACTTGGAAAAGGGCGATAGTCCAAATGGTACTTGTTGCAGTGTAGTGTCTCCGGTAGTAGAGGAAGATTATATGGCAAAGACAACGCATGGATAGTAAAGCGACCCGGTCTTTCACCCAGCGAATCCAATGCCATGGCCTCTGGTAACATGGAAATTAGATCTGACGACTTGACAAGGTTCGCACGTTTTATTAGCAGAAAATAACATGGTTTCATGGTCATTATGATGAAGCGCCCTTGGAATAGTGAGGTAGGTGGGGTCACCTTGCAGCGAAGGATTGCAAAAGCTGTGATACTCATGAGTCCTAAGCACAAACTTAGCCAAATGCGAGATGCTTCCCGGGGGGAAATGAACTTAGCTTCTGTCCGAGGCCCAGGTGCCAATTACCAATAGAATTGGATGTGACAAATCTCCAGGGAAGAGACCGACGGAACGTAGCAGACAGGGGAAACGGGGCATTGTCGACTTGAGCAAGTTACGGTATCCATTTTGACTGGGGAGGGACGAGAGAGAGGATACTCTTCCCATATCTTTGGGCAGATTCCGGTACTTGCGTTGGTAGACATACAGCGTGTATATTGCCAAAGTTTGGTAGAGATGGGGATTGTAGCATAATATTGATAAAAGGAACTTTGACGGTGACTTTGGACCAAGACATTTGTCGGCTTCCTAGATGAAAAGAACATGCTGAAACCTTCTAGAAGTTTTTGATAAGCTAGCAGAATGCATGGATGTGTAGGTTTTCTACCAAACTCCCCCTCAAAAAGCCCATTCAATTTCCAAGGAATAATCACTGTAACCGAAATGGCAGTGGCTACTTCCTTGATGACCCCTTGCAATTCAATAAGAGTGCCATCTCACAAGTTACCAACCGTATGGAAGAAGGTATAGATTTTCCATATCACGCCACCAGTTTATGGAGTGGTTTCCATGTGCCATATATGTTGATATTACAGTCTCTCAGCGCATTGCATCACATTGGTTACTGGCAATACCTATGTACCCTTCATTGCCCCTAAACCAGCTGATCGTCGTCACCTCGTTAACTTTTCCCCGACAGTGTATACGTCAACTTCTCTAGGATTGTCCCCTTTTATCTACAGCACAATCTTTGACGCTCTGTTATGCAATCTAGAGTGTCCATTGCACATTACACAGGATATCTGATCTTCTGATCCTTTGATGATAAAGTGCAGTTTGGACCTCTGATACGAGTTAAAAAGCGTCCTCTAGTACCTATGCGTTCGAATGCTGTCCGCCTATATGCACTTTGATAGGGTTTACGAGTTTCTTAACCAGTCGGAATTTCAAAAGCCTCCATTTATGAAGACTGCCGTGCAAGGTACTGCATCATCGACGGATCGGCTCTACGGTGTGTCTAAGTAAAGAACAGTCACGAGACCGGTATTTGAGCATTATGTTCAAGGTCTTCCGGGTCCTCTCCCGCTCAGGGGCACGCAGACCAGAGTTGTCCCTCCCCCTGGTACTATTCTATACCGCCTCCTAGTTTCCAAATCTCAAAAACCCCCCGGAATTTGCTACCATTTTCTTACTCGTCCGAGTCGCCCCACGTGTCTCGCATTGGACCGAGGATAGTGATCGCTTCTCAAACGCTATTGAAGAATCATCAACGCATTCCGCAAGGTTTTTTAATCCGGAATTGTGAGTCCATCTCTTTTATAATGTCCGTCAACGAGCTGTGAGTGATTGCACCGCACCGATGCCGTTCTTAGTTGAACACGACGGTGGCACTAAATGATATGCAAGGTCACTGTTCACAAGGCGGTTAAGTATACAAATTATCTAGGAATGACCTACCTAAGATTCTCGTGGAAAGTAATGCAGTCAGGCACAGGCACAGGCACATTGTGGCTTAGCTTTGTAGGAGTTTAGCACAGTTAGCTCCACCCATCCATCATTACCATGTTCGGACTCCGTAAAACCTTATGACGGTGTAGGGTACGTATCTACTATCTACTATCGAGTATCAAGAGGCTGCTCGAGCCTCAAGGTTTACCAGGGCGTAACTTCCCAGCACTCCAGGAGATGGCTGATGTTTCCAATAGGCTCATTACGGGGTAATTGACATAGTGCGGCAGCGTACCTTACCACTTGTAACTTAACTCACGCCCCTTGACCTATACCTGGCACAGCGTAGCGCTTGTGAGGTCACAATTCGTGCAACTTGCAAGCACAAATGATAAACGCGGTGGTCGGACAGCTTAGAGGTAGGGAGTGGCATGTAGCATGTAGCGTGGGGCACCGTTAATTGAGGGAGCATAATGGCAATAGACCCCCCGGGTGGTCCTTGGTCACTAGATCATCATTGGTCACTCATCTTGAAGAATCAAGATGAATGGCAATTGGTTGGGTATGGGCATGGACATTGTAAATACAGCTAATTTACCACGATTGAAAAAAATGGCATGAGAGCAATGAAAGCTCGGAATGGCTTTGATACTGAACCGGTGTTAGCATTATCCTGTCAAGCTTACTTTGGGGTCCACCATTAATATGATTGAATGAAAGTATAATGATATGAAAGTGGCATGAAGCTGTGGCAATCGACGCGTGCAATCAATAGGCGTGCGTATTTGGCCTGCACGTTATAGATAGAGCGTGAGGCAAAGTTCATACATGCTCCAGATATTAGCCCCTGAGAGCAAACGTATGGCGAGTGAGCATGTGTTGTACAGTAGATTCCTTTAGCTGGTGCCTATGTCAAGAGGAGGAAGCAGGAAGCAGTCATCTAATCATCGTTGAGAGATCGCGGGGTGACAGGATTGATAGGATTGAGTCGGTTGTGACCAGGGTGAACTAGGGGATCTTGGAAACGAAACTTAGCAAGTCAGCAAGAGTCTATCTACCTCTGTAGTCGCAAATCTTCATCCAGTCAAGTGTATGTAAATATTTACATATATTAAAAGAAAGTGGATGAGAAGTGGACACTGGACACTGGACATGGTGACTGGAGTGACATTGGACATTGGGACTGTGAGAAGTGGAGGTTGATCGGCAGATTTCAAGTCATCTCTCTTTTGGTGCATACTGTTTATTATTATTACAGAGTACAATTTTGTCCTTGATATGTGCATATTCCCAAGTAATATCGACCGACAGACGTGTGTACGGAGTATTCATAGGTACTCGGATCGATTAGAAGTGCCGTTGTCTTGTCCTTGTTCTTTTTCCACTTCTTCTTCTGCTTCTGCTTCTTCTTCTTCTGTTTGTTCTTCTTCATCGTCGTCTTCATCATCATCCTTTTCTTCTTTCTATCTTCTTTCTTCTTTCTTCTTTCTTCAACCATCTCAGTTCTCTATAAATCCATGACTAATCAAGCAATCTATTATTACTCCATCGAGTCTCAATTCCTGACTCTTGACATGAATCTTTTCCTCTTTTTCTCTTTTCCCTGGCCCTGCTTCTTCCAAGTCTCTCTTCCCAATTCCCCTATAGAGACTGACTATACCTAGTAAATCGAGGACTAAAGTTCTGACCACCCTGTTTTAAGCTTTTAGCGACTTTTCTTTTTATCGTACCAGCAAACCAGGATTTCCAAGAGGTCTCCATCAACAAAGCCTGCAAAACCTAATCCGCCCCTGTAAATTAAAAAAAAAACAAAAAAAGCATCGACATCCATCTAAAATTCTAAATATCCTCGTAATACACCCACTATTGCCGAATAGAAGGCCAAAAGAAGGATTCGAAACCCTTTACTTATGCTTCTAGTTCATTAACCCCCCCTCTCTCACTCTCAATCTTCCCAAGTTCCCCCCTCCCCCCTCCCCTCGATCCCCGAAACCCGGATATCTCGACAACCCACCCCTTCCCTCAACTATTGCTCCCAGTCCTTTCCCAATATTTCCGCATTCCTTGTCAATTCTCCTTCCTAGACACCCAGACACCCAGATACCCAGGGACCCAAATATCTCACCCTCTTTTTTCGAGAAGAAAAAAAAAGAAGTAGAAGACTACTCGTAGAAGTCCATTGACAATTCTACGCCTTACCCACACACCCAAACGCTAAACCACTAAAAATCATCTGTGAGTACCTAGACAGAGAGACAGAGAGCGAGCGAGAGCATCTCATTTTTTTCACGATACATGAACCTTCCCTATCTCATTCTCTAGAGTCTAAACTCCTCATCCGTCCTCTCTCCAACCATAGCATCTACGCTTTGATATCTTGGCTCATCATTTGTGGTTTCTAATTGAAGAACATCAACAGACCATTTCAACCTGATTGTACATTATTTCTTGTATCGAATCTATAAAATCGGCATCGGCGCATTATTAACTATCAAGAAAGAGTACCTGCCGCATTGTATCCCGAGCTTCTAGTTCAGCCCAGAAGCAGCCTCCATCTCGAGATCTCTTCTCCGCCCTGCAGCAATCGCATGGTTCCTTCCGAGGCATCTTAATAACCTTCGTGCCACCTTGGAAACTACCACTTCACTCCAACGTCAGTTCAATCCCGTAAGATCGAATTACAACCTCAGTGTAAGTTTGCATGTCCTCACCCATCAACTACCAAGGATAGAGAAACAAATCACTAACATCCGATGGAATACTAGAAGATCTATCTAAATCTTTCTTGCGATTTCTCGACTCCTTGAAAGGATCAATCACTTCTCCAACTCCAAGACGCGCTCTACAAACAGATTCTACAAACAGATATAATTTTGCGACGCGAATAGTTCGTGTCCAGACCCTGAGTATTCGCAGAAGGTCTCGAGTCTCAAGAGCGCATACATAAGAAAAGAAAAGGATTGTTGGACTAGGCTCACTTCTTATTGAGAGAATAAATTTGCGGATTCACAAAACTCGATTCACACCAAATTCGAAAACGCGCCACTGCAAAGACACTTTGCCTCATCACATCTCACATTCACCACTGATCCAATATATCGTCTCATCAGACGAACCTTTGGCTCGTGCCTCAGACACTGCAGTATCCCGAACCAGCATCACTCAAAAGAGGTGCAAACATATTCTCAAGTTCTGAGAACCATTGCTAGCTCACACGAAGCAGTGTTTTTACGGTACGGTACTTCTTGGAATCAAAGAACACGCATGCGCAGTCGCGTCTAGGAGATCATTTCCATCCAGCGAAATCAAGCCAAGAGACTCGAGCAATATCAGCGTTCCATCAATTGGAAAAGCATATTCTTCTGAGTTGAGAAGGATTAAAAGAAGAGGCAACCAATTTTAACCGGTCTGTACGATTGCCCGTACGTTGTGACATTCCCGCATCCCATCCCCGCCCACCCAGTGTCCAGATTGGCGGATTTTTACATAGTACCTGATCGTGAAAATTGTCGCGGTCAATTTTTTTATTTTTTTTTATTTTTGAAGCCATCCATACATTGGACAGTGACCTACTAGGTAGTCATCAATAATAAGGTAAGCAAGCTCGGATATCTACCTACATATCTACACACACGCAGTACATACAGTGCATACACACTGGATCCACTCACCCGCTCACCCGCTCATCCACTCGCCCACTCATCCACCCTGAACTCTACCTTATTCTTCCTACAAAATTAGGAGAATTGGCGGTGTGCACCGTGCTGTTGTTGTTGATGCCAACACCACACACAGCATTGCATCTCTTACCCCATAACACTTTGCTAATATTCACCCACTATAGACTTTTTGAAAAAAGTGAAAAGCGGCAAAATCCCCTCAAAAGAAGTCAATCTAAAAGGTCACTTTACTTTTGATTGGAACGAAGAACTTTCGATCACGTTACTCTACTTAATTCACTCACTACGGTCACTCTGGTCATTACGGCCCAATCTAAATCTTTGCAAAGTATTTTCTATTTAATATTCTTGCATACGACTTACAGCCTCTCGAACACTGGTTCCCGAGACACAAAGCAACCTTCGAGACACGGTACCAGATTCCAAAACTTGGTACGAACGCCTGATCCAAGCGTCGATCACGTCCTATAATCTTCTCTTATTCCTCTTTACTTCATTTTTCTAGCCAAGGGAATCTTGAAAAGAACCATCTCATTATGGATATCAAAGAAATAGTTAATTCGAAAGGAGTGAAAGGAGCAGCAGCGGCGGCAGCAGCATCAGCTAGTGGTCAAGCTCAGGCTCAAGATTTACACTTACTCCAAACTATATCGCAAGCCAACGGAATGCGCATGTCTGACACTGGATCCGAGAGAGGTACTTCTCCTCATGGTTCTGAGCATTCTCAATATTCTACACCACGAATGGGAATGAATGTAATGAACGGAGCACCAAATGGCATGCGTTATCCTTCACCTCCCGGTATGCAAAATGCGATGCCAATGATGCAACAACCTTACCGCCCTGATATTCCTTTCGATAACAGTATGATGCCCACACAACAACAAGATAACACGCGTCAACGTCAACCTGGAGATGTCACAGTCACAAAAGCTTTCCCTTGTAGTACATGTGGCAAAGGATTTGCTCGCCGAAGTGACCTTGCAAGACATGGTAAGTTTATTCATAAAAATAATTATGATCCGAGTCGAGTTGCTGACCCCTTTATCTAGAGCGAATTCACAGTGGTGTCCGACCCCATGTCTGTGATTATCCGGGTTGTGGCAAACAATTCATTCAAAGATCAGCTTTAACAGTCCACCTTCGAGTTCATACTGGTGAAAAGCCTCACACTTGTGAACGTTGTGCAAAGGTGAGCATTATTTTCATACATTATAGGTTGATGAATCTTGCTAATTTAAAGTAGCCCTTTAGTGATTCCAGTTCTCTTGCTAGACACAGGCGCATTCATTCCGGAAAGCGTCCATACAAGTGCCCATATGCCGATTGTCAAAAGACTTTCACCCGAAGAACCACTTTGACACGCCACCAAAACCATCATACCGGAACTGTCGAAGAGGCTGCTGCCGCAACTGCTGCTGCTCTCGCCACTCGACCTGGTAATAACAGACCTAGCAGACAACGTTCCGATGGCGAGTCATATTCAAACAATGGATCTCCAATGTCAACTCCTTCACCAGGCCGACATCTCTCTGCTTCTCCAAGTTCTGACATGGCACCAATGAATGGCATGCAGCGCCACCCTGGTGATTACGGCTACATGAATAACAGCTCTTTACCTGGTCATCTTCGTGGTGACTATGGTGTACCAAGCCAGCCACCACCAGTTTCTACTGCTTTTGCAAATGGTATGCAGCAACAACGACCTACCTCCCACCCAACCGGTTATGGCCCACCAAACATTCTAGAGCCTCCTGCCAACATGGAACAACGTCAACCTGGTAGCGCAAATGGTAGCCCACACATGACCAACATGGGTTGGCAATCACCATCTCACATGGGATCTCCATCGCATAATAACAACTATGTCTATCCAGACCCTGATCCGTATGGATCTGGCGCAGCGATTGGTCAGATGTATTACCCAAATTCAAATATGAGAAGACCACAAAGCACGGAGCCAGAACAATATGATATGAAGCCAAGAATGGGCGATCTATGGGCCACAGCTCAATGATGAACATATCGTATTGTCTGGAACTTTCTTTCTCTGCCTGCTTTAAACGATTCTCTGGTTTTCATAGTGCTATGAATCTTTTCATGAACTATGTTTGATACCCTGTACACATCACGACTCATTCTTTCATTTCTTTTTGATCGTTCACTCTTGATGTTCGACAGTACTGCATACTATCAAAAAGGCTTTTCTATCTCGATATTGGCGTTCTTGAGATTCTACTGCGATCTTGTGATTTTTAGGCGGTTTTCTTTCGGTGGAATAAAGAATCTCTAGACATCATGAAGCAAACGACCTTGTTTTCTGATTAAATAACTTCGGGGTTGTGGCACATGGCAATAATGATGATATTGGTCTCTTACCTTTCACATTCATCACACTTGGTATCAAGTTTCACGGCACCCACTTTCACGTTGGACTGGCTCGCTCTTAGGGCTACACATTTTGGTGTGGGATGTTTGCATTAGCTTTTGTGATAAATTGAGCAGTAGGGCTCAAATTCTTTACTTCTTACTTTATTGTAAAGTAGTAATTCCGGGATTGGGTTGGTCTGGTCTTGTTTGGGGCGAGGGACGGGAGGTGAATAAATTGATGGGCGGGATGCTTGCTAGGAGGCTGCTTTTTTGCTGCATTTGCTGGCGCCAAAATTATGTGTAGAATTGCCACTAATGAAGAAATTTTAAAATGATTTTTGTATTTTACTTTGTGATAATGTATTGTGAGATGATTGTTTCTTTGCAATGCTATTTGTGAGTTTTCTTCTTTTCGACGAAACTGAGCTTAGTGCGTATACATACATGCAAAGTAACTACTTGAGATGTGGTATATTCGATTGCAAAATAGTAGAATGTAAAAAAGACTCAAGAAACATTTGAACACCTAGTTAAATTCCATTGTTGAGATTTTTCCTTTTGCTCCTCGCGGCGATTGAATCTAATATACCAAGCCCATATAGAACTACAAGCTTATAAGGACCAGTTGAACTCCTCATCATCTATCCAAATAAATTTATCATCTCCGTTTTATCTTCTGCAGATGTCTACCTCTCCTCTCCATTGCCTTCGAGCGGCCTCCTTTCCGGCTTCTCTTCTTTCCAAAAATCACATCTGATATCTTTCTTAATACACATAGATCGACTTTTTGCTCAAACCCCATTTCCATTACGCTGCTCCTCATCCTTCACCCACTTCCCCTCTTTCTCCTCCAGATACTCCACTAGAGCCTCAATCGTACAAGTCTTCAACCCCCATTTCTTTCCAAAAGCTAAACATCCATCTCTCCTCAACATGCCCGGTTCCTTCCTAATCGCTTGTCCGGCAACTTCCTCCCCATCCTCCACAATCTCACATATAACCCCCACAGGCGGCTTTCCCGCCAATCTACAAAAGTCCACCGCAGCCTCCGTATGTCCGGGTCTCTCACGCACACCACCCTCGCGCGCCCGCAAGGGGAATACGTGACCGGGTCTTCGGAAACTCTGCGGGCTGGATTTCGCATCCGCAAGCATGGTGCAGGTGAGAGAGCGATCGTGGGCGCTGATGCCGGTGGTGGTCGATGGGTGGTTGGCATCGATACTTATAGTGTAGGCGGTGCGGTTGGGATCCTCGTTGTCGCTGACCATCTGGGGGAGAGCGAATTGCGTGGTTAGGGAGGGGGGGATCGGTGTGCAGATTATGCCAGAGGTGTGGCGGACCATGAAGGCCATTTTTTCGGGCGTCATGTCGCTGGCGGATATTATTAGGTCGCCTTCGTTTTCGCGCGAGGTGGAGTCGAGGACGATGATGAATTCGCCATTTTCTGGGAGGAGGAGGAGAGTTAGTTGGGAGGGGGGATGTGTTTGAATGGGAGGGACCTGCAAGGAGCGGATGGAGGGGGTGCTTACTGAAGGCAGTGATTGTGTCTTCGATTGTATCGAATTCGTGGATTATTTCTGAAGAAGGCATTTTGAATTTTGATGAGAATACGTTGGGCGTGAAAGGGAATGAGGGAGTCGGACTGAGAAGATGGGATGAATATATAAAAGTGCCCCGCTTCCGAATGATAGTGGGGAGATGTCGTGAGATATCTAATGATGATTTGACAATTGGACTTTCTTTCGATGACGATAATAGAAGTAACAATGAATAAGCAATACCTCTCTTCAAGAATAATATGAGGAACGGTATCGTATATGTATGATTATATATTCACATCAGTGGGATACGATTCTACAGTATGAACCTTAATAAGTAGCTGAACATCCTGATAAGTGCCCTGAGTACATTTTTTGTTCTCCGGGGCGGATGGAAAGATCTTCGGCATCGGACAACTAGGGGATTTTGGTATAGTACAGGGGTATGGAAGACAGGAATGCATAAGGGCTTACCAAGAGGCTGACAAAAACCAATTAATTTTCATGTCAGCAAACGCTTTTCAACAAATCATATACGAAAATTACACAAACAACCTGGCATTTCTCAAACGTTTTGAGCCTCGACGAATCTATTCCTTGGAGCCGATTACACATCCCCAGGTAACTAGTCGATACTATCCAATTCCTATTGGTAACGAAAGAGCTTGGCCTTCGACTTGGAGTACAGGATTATATAGGGATTTTGTAACATTATATTTACATACATATATACATACATACACACAAATATACAAATCATGCCCCTCACTCTCTCCACGCCACTACGTCCGACATCCCTCCGAAATATCAACCTACTTCTCCGAACCGCCCCTCGACACGTCCAGAACCAATTCCGAAGTCAATCGACCTCCCCCAATCATTCTCATTCCTCATCATCCGTCAACCCCAACGAAGTTTCGCATTTCAATGCCCTCGCATCAACATGGTGGGATCCCCATGGCTCTTCACGGTTACTACATCTAATGAACCCGCTTCGTCATGATTTCATTCGCACATGTCATTCTTCGCAGCCCATTCCCCCCGCATCGTCCGGGCTGAAATATCTCGATATCGGCTGTGGCGGCGGGATCTTCGCCGAAAGTGCTGCGAGATTGGGCAATTCGGGGAGCGTCACGGCGATTGATCCTTCGCCCGTAGTGTTGAATGTTGCAAAAGCTCATGCGCGCAAAGATCCGGGGCTGCAGGGGAAATTAACGTATTTGAATACGTCGATTGAGGGTTTACCGAGGCCGACATCGAGGGAGGAACAATATGATGTGCTTTCGTTGTTTGAGGTTATCGAACATATTACGTATCCGTCTGAGTTTTTGGATAAGTGTACGCCGTTTGTTAAGCCCGGGGGATGGATTATCATGAGTACGATGGCGAGGACGTGGACGAGTTGGTTGACGACGAAGGTGGTGGCGGAGGATGTTATGGGGATTGTACCGAGGGGAACGCATGATTGGAATCAGTATATTAATGAGGAGGAGTTGAGAGGGCATTTTTTGAGGGAGAGGGGCTGGAATAGTCCGATTGTTAGGGGGGTGGTTTATGTGCCGGGGTTGGGGTGGAAGGTTGTGCCTGGGAGTGAGAAGGTGGGGAATTATTTCTTTGGGATTAGGAGAGATGAGGTTACGCAGGTGTGAGGTGCGAGGGGAAGGATACTTTGTATGTGTTGAGGTGTTGGTATCCTGAGGGTTTCTACGGAAGTGATGTCATTAATGATGAGTGGTTACTCGTCAAGAAACCGAAGCCACTTGTTGATACCCGGAATGGGTTGATAACAGATGGTGAAGAAGGGATTTGTGTGCATAATCCAGGGTGTTTGAATTTTTGCACTACAATCACAATATTATTCACATAATATTGTGAATACTGACATCAAATATGATCCTCTACTTGGCACGATATTACAAAAGCGTATCCTTCGAGGCACATCGCAAAAACATATCGCAGATTCAGCTTTGCAAAATATCTCAAACATGTACAACTATGGAAATACTTACAACTTGGGAGCCATTCTTGTGGGAAATGTAATAATAATGACAGTACAAAATGGTGATGCACGTTACGTTGTACGTCTATATCATCTGAAAACACACACATATCATAGATACCTACCCACCTAAGTAATCATAGTATATCTCACTCCCATCCCATCCCATGCTCTACAGCAAGTATCAAGAACATTCTATATAAGATCTTACATCTATCTATGATCCCAAACTCCATATCTTCTCATAGCATTTCTTTCTTATGAAGTGAATAACACTCGATAACCTTAGGGCGATAAACAGGAGCTAGCTTTTCTGAAAAGGTTTGTTACATATCTGTAAATGTATATAGTGATGTGTATAGTTGCTAGCTTATTGCTAGTGTGTTCTCCATTCGAGAATTCTGATACCAGGTAGGTAGTAAAGTGACGATCAAGGAAATGGAAATGGAAAGAAATATTTCAGATGTCCACTGCAACAGAAGATTGAAAAGATAATGGTGAGTTGTCATGTGAAGTTACTCGGTGGGCTGGGTAATGTGAAGTAGTGAATTGTGGGGAAAGGCGAGTTTTGTTGCATATCTGCAGGTGTATATAGTGATTTGTATAGTTGCTAGTGTTGCTAGCTTATTGCTGGCGTAGTAGATTGGACAATTTTCGAGTGATTATTAGGAGGATTGGAACTAGAAAGAAATATTTCAGATGTGCAACAGAAGATGTGAATGGAGTTGGTGTGTGAACCTTGGAAGCTACTTGGTGGGCTCGGTAATGTGAAGTAGTGAATTGTGAGGTAAGTTAGTTTTGTTGCATATCTGTAAATGTATATAGTGGCTAGCTTGTTGCTAGTGTTGCTAGCGTGATAGATTCAAAAAGTTCAAGTGGTTGAGAAAATTAGAAATAGAAAGAAATATTTCAGATATGCAACAAAACATATGAGAAGACCTGGTGGATTGTCATGTGAAGTAGTGAATTGTGAGGTAAGTTGGTTTTGTTGCATATCTGTAAATGTGTATAGCTTTACACTGTGTAAGATCCCTACACGGTGTATACACGGCGTATACACGGCGTATACATGGTGTATACACCATATACCGGTTGCGCATAATTCCACTAAGGAGTGACTAGCTTGTTGCTAGTGTCGCTAGCGGTGTTCGGTTAAGGGTTCTAAGGATCTTTGTCTGTGAGATGTGCAACGAAACTTATGATGAGGTTAGTAGGTTTTCATCTGAAAGTTTTCGGTGTGTTCTATGGCGAATTGGTGAGTGAATATACGGATTTCATTGTTTTGTTGCAGATCTACAGATGTAGTGCTGCAACTTTATAGCTAGCTTGAGATTTATAGTTGCTAGTGAACGCTTCATTCGGGTTCCTGGCTTTACTAGCGAGGAGTGAGATTTCTCAGATGTGCAACGAAACTTATGAAAAGTTAGGGAATTGTCATCTGAAGTTGTTTGGGTAAGCTCTATCGCATAAAGGGGTGGATGGATGAAGTGAGATCGTTTTGTTGCATATCTGAAATTTTTGGACAGCAGCTGGCATGGTGTGTAGTCGTTAGCGTGACCCTGATTCGGCCTCTGAGTGGTTTAGATGCTTATATAAATAGAAGGCAATGCTCCTTACTTGGTCGGCCACTTAGAAGAGTTGGCGTTTAAGTCATGCAAAAGACATTGGTGAAAGCCTTTTTGTATTGTTTTAGGTATCGATAGTTTCAGAAGCGATATTCAATTGGCTCTAGAAAGACGAAGCAGGCTTCTAGACGAAGTACACGGGATTTTGCAAACATGCAACAAGGATTTCGAAAGTTAATGGATTCTCATCTGGAGTATTTGAGATGAAGTTGAAGTAAATTTGTAGAGAATTGTGAATAAAGAAAGATGCTGGAGGTTTGGAATGGCACTTGAGAGACTGCTAGTTATGAGGTGGAAACCTTGCTTTAATACATTGTAATTACTATTTCGAATCATAGCGCCTTCGGATAAAAGATCTCTTGTGTTGTCGCGTGAAAAAATTCTACATTTTTCGGAGAAATTGATGAGGTTCGCATGCTTCGCTGCTGTCCATAGAAGCTAGAATGGACAATGGCATAGAAAGCTAACGGGAAGAAAGGAAAGGCTATGGCGTTCTAAATCGCCCGACATATCCTGATTTAATATTCAATCTGGCAAGAATCTACGCTTTCCAGGCCATCTAATGACTAGAGGATAGGTTGGAGATTAGAGGGGCCAATTATTGACAGATTGTCAAATTTCATCCAACAGGCAATGTAGCTTCCTAAACCTCTCGTACTTGCCGGAACCAAAACATGAACAATAAGGAGAAAGGCTGCATTGCCACTTGCTTCAATGATAAAGCCCTTGGAATGAGTCGAGGCCGCCTACTAATGATACCGGATCAAAGATGATCATCATGGGTCTTGAACCCTCGTCTAAGAGGGCAAGGTAATTTCAGGAGACAGTAACCTTGGGATACCAATCCTCAAAGCCTGCTAAAGTAACTTGGACTACAGATCTTCAGACCAAAGCTGGAGTCATCATTGTATATGAATAGCGACAAGATAGCCAAAATATCTGAAGTATCAGAGAAGAGATGAAAACGATGATTTCAAACATACCCGGATCCGGCAACTTGAATGGCACAGGAAGATCATACCTAACCTCGACAATGAAAATGGAAACTTAACTTGTGACCAAACACACCTCGAGTAATTATGAAATCCTCAGGCACTAATGCCTTACTCTCCTCAATCTCTTAATTCTGATCCGCAAGTGCACGGCCCAGCCTCGCGCAAAATAATTCCCCAGACGCGACTCCCCATCGCAATCAATCCATCAAGCTTTCCCCCTCCTTTCAGCTATAAAATTATAACCCATCAACAATGCCCTCGCCAACCCCCTCACCCGTCCCCCGTGGTCGCTCCCGTGTACGTTCCCGTTCACGAACCCCAGATTCCAGCGCATCACGCTATACTCGGTCGCGCAGCCGTTCTCCACGCCGTTCAATTTCACCTCGTTCTCGATCTAGATCTGGGGGTAGAAGTAGGAGCCGTAGCTTGGTGAGCGCAATTGGTGCTGGTAGAAGTGGAGGCGCAAGATATAGGAGTGAAAGTCGAGGAAGAAGTTTAAGTCCTAGGGGTCGGAGTAGAACTCGAAGTAGAAGTCGAGGGAGAAGTGAGAGTGCTGGATCTGTAGCTGCCCCGAGGAGTACCAAGGTTTGTTTGCTCGCTTTTATTTTCTTCTTCTCTCGAGAATGGAGATATTTCAAGCATTACTATTTTTGGTAATTGGAGTTTGATATGCAAATACTAACAATCAATTCTGTTTGCAGGTTGTGATTGAGAAACTTACAAAAAATGTTACCGAAGATCATCTTCGTGAAATATTTGGAAGTTTTGGCGAAATCAAAGATCTAGATGTGCCAATGAACAGAAATTGTAAGTTGCACATTAACATTCTCTGCATATCATCTCATCTTCATACTCTACCATCCTAATGTATAAATTACAACGAATATGACGGCTAACATTTTTGGAAAGTCAATACCAACCGTGGTACAGCTTATATTCTTTACGTTTCTTCTTCATCCGCCGAATCTGCGATAGCTCATATGCATGAATCACAACTCGATGGCGCCGTTATAAATGTATCAATCGTCTTACCTCGCCGCAAATTTAGTCCACAACCACCCATGGCCCGTCGGGGAGTAAATATCGATCCTAGAATTCCAATTGGTAGTAGGAGTTCTCGTGGCGGCTTTGAATCTAGGGGTGCTGGGGGTGGAATGGGAGGAGGCGGAAGAATGATGGACAGGGAAAGAGACAGAGGAGGTGATACTTATAGACCTGGCGAGAGAAACCGTGAGAGGTCAAGAAGCCCCAGAAGACATAGGACGAGAAGTCGAAGTCTAAGTAGCCGATCACGGTCAAGATCCCCAAGGAGAGACAGAGGGAGAGATAGGAGAGATAGTTTTGGAGGTCGCGGAGGTAGAGGTGGCAGGGATAGAGATGGAAGCAGGGATGGGAGAAGAAAGAGAAGTCCTAGTTATAGTAGCTATAGTAGCTATGATGATCGAAGTCGAAGTCCAAGTCGAGTTCGAGGTGGAGGTGGAAGGGGAAGACGTTAAGAATGAGGTTGAGATGAAGTTAAGTCTCCAAATTATTGCAGCAATTGGGAGGAATTTAAGCACCGACAGGAGGCCGAGATTTTGCCAAAGGTTGATGGAGAGATGAGAGGGATTTGGAGCAAAAATGTACAAAATATTTTCTTTCTATCAGCTGGGTTACTATTGTAGTGTAGGTATGGAGCGAAGGAGTTTGGGATTTCGTGATGAAAATGGATTAGCTAGCAAAAGGAACAGAAATTATAATGAAAGTTTAAAGCTTATTCTGGAGCGTAACGAGCGTTACTACTCTCAGTTATATCTGTCATGTTATTTAACATTATGTGAGAAAGATTCTGTCGTCTTTTAGACTTCGGTTCTAATGTATAATCTCCCCACCCATGACATATATTTCAAAGACGATTCATTCCTCTTTCGGGAGTCATAAACTAAAACAATGGCCAAGACGAGTCGAAATCATGAAGGCTAGAAGCTTAGTATCAAGACTTTCAACATATCTCCATACCAGCCGATCAATTGGTCGGTTGTTCGAAATTGGCGCGGAATACACCTCTCCCCAACTTGGCACTCAATTGTTCATCACAAGTTACTTAGCAGAAGCATAGTACGGCCGAATTAAGTAATATCAATAACTATATGCTAGTGATCATACTCCTCGACATTTGGGCTCCCTTAGATCCTTACCTTTGTCAACACAGATGTTCCAGATCCCGATTGACATAGTGTGATATAAGGTAATGACTTCGTTCCTTTGTATTCTCACAATCAATTATTCGCGGCTACATCAACGTGTCATCCATACACTCTCATCATGACGAATGAAGACCCCGAAGCCACAGAGCTGTCTGCTGCTCCCACTGCCCAACTTATGATAAGATACTCTCCAGTTGACCTCATCAAATCACCCACTGAGACACTCAGATCATCAAACCCTAAGATTTCTTTACCTGTCGAAATCATGCTGTCAATTCTCGAAATGGCTGTTGAACTGGAGCCTCGGATGATTCGTCTTGGGTGTCATCACGACAAATTCCTCAAAACCATTATCGTGAGCGACTGCCCTGCTCAGTTTCACGTTACCTTGAAATTGAGAGAATTGCTTCTAACCTCCAAAGTCCTGATCTCAAAATCATTGATACCTAGCGAAGAAGTGATCCTCACGTATAAACCATACTTTCGGCTCCCAGAATCATGCTTCAGTGCTGAGATTGACACTTTGCATATCAGCACACAACTTTACACCATGCTCAGAACCGAAGTTCCCTGGATGCATAATTTCAGACACATGTTTGAACATGTTAAACGTTTGTCTCTCGACCATACTTCAACCGATCAGAGTATATTCCTAAGTCGCTTACGCTTAGATTTCCCAAAACTGGAACGGTATTCCGTGCGATTTGAAACCGGTCAAAACCCGACAGATCATGATATAGTTCGATGGGTCGAGACTTACCGGAAGCTTGGGCGCAAGCTTAATTATACAATGGTAGTTCAGCTCGATTGGAGGATGAGAACTAATGGCGTTACACTATACTATGAGCACAAAAAGTTCCCTTTTGGGCACGTCTCTGCTGGTCGCTTATCGTTTCTGAGAAGTGCGAGTCGTATGTCACGGGAGTCGATTCCTCCTGCTATATCGAAGATCCGGCGCTTGTCATGTCAGAGTGGTATGGGTATTGGGGTGCGAAATTCCTGTTTCCATGTCAAAGGGTGGGATGGATGGATGATAATCTCTAGTGAGGAATGAGGGATGATTCGATTGTAGATTGTGGGAGCTGGTGTATCATATTCTCTTGAGCCGGAGGACGCGTGGGATTTGGTGCTTGGAGATGTGGTTATTGTGAGGAAGAGATAGGGCGAAGCATGGTTTAACGAATTGAAAGGGTTACTGTACTGTTTAATTTGTAGGAATGGGGGGAATGGGAATACACATGTTTTGGAGAGGTTAGCGAGGGGAAGAGGGAGGAAATTTAGAATGGAGATAGAGACGAAGATAGAGATGGAGATGGAGATGAAAGAATGAGTGTGTAGAGGAGATTGGAGGAAGATGAATCTACAAAAAGTATTTTGGAAATATGAGCATCTGGGTATGAAAGGGGGGCTGGAGAGGAGAGAAGAGAGAGAAGAGAGAGGATATATAATACATATATTCAAGATATGAATTAGAAACCCATAACACATTTGCTACACGCGCGTTTTGCTTATCTACTAACGAGATATTCCGAGGAAAGAAGATTGCCAAGATAGATACTAGGAAGTGGAATGTGAATTAGATCTTATTGAATATAGAATACCTAGTATATATTATTAACAATGGAAATCCATCTCATTGTGAGATATCGAGAGATGTAATGTAATGCGATACAATGCGATATACGATGTGATGAGTGAGATACTTAGAAATTTCTTGTTGGTGTAATATATAATCTATGTGATTATATTAAAATATTGTAGATATATAGATATATAGATATATATATAAATATACATAAACACATTAAATGCGTTTGTATATTCTTGTTTTCTTCATATATGTCATTTCTTTCCTTTCCTTTGCTTTGTATTCCTTTACTCTACCTACTCTATCTACTTACTCATAACCCATTCCAGCAGTTCATCCCCATTTATATCTCATTACTTCACCATCACTCAAAAAACAATACTCATAATACCAGCAGACTATATGCCAAGCCGTTTCGTACTACATGACCACTATTCGATATCATATCATATCATATCATATCATCCCGACCGAGAGATTCTTTTTAGTTTTCTTTCTGTTTTTGGTCGTGTATGATCGATTTTTGATTTTTGATCTTTGGGGGCGGGTGAGTGTGTATGTATGTATGCATGAAGATGTTCGAATTCCCTGGTAGGGGGGATGCGTGGTTTGGCTGAGAAGGAGAGAGAGTGTAGAGTAGATAGATAGAGGGGTTTTAATGAACCATATCAACAATTCATGTCAACTCCGACATCTCATTTCTCACTCTCACTCTCACTCTCATTTCATCTCACCTCACCTCACCCAGGGAACTGAATATCGTAATAAGTGTATTTATGTATTTATTATTCAGGGCAATAAACAAAATGATATTCGCTACCTAGAACCATATCCTAAACCCCAATCCCCGAAGCCAATCATCTTGATATCAAACTCCTCCCTCACTTGTGAAATGACTTGACCTTCTCCATTTCATCCCAACTACCCATAAAGATACCGGATCTGTCATGGATACTCTCGGGTACTACTTCCATCATTCTGTCCATTTTGCTGTTCAATGCTTGACCACCGGCTGGACATATTATGTTAGTATTCTGTGTGTAAATGCAGGGGTAGAAAAGGAAACTTACCATTTTCAAAAACCATAGCCATAGGTGCACATTCGTACAAAATTCTCAATTTACCCTTGGGACTCTTCTTATCCGCCGGGTAGGCGAAAACACCCCCATATAGCAAGGTTCTATAAGCATCTGCCACCATACTTCCGATATATCTTGCGCTATAAGGTTTTCCGCCCTCCTTCTCAGGGTACTTTAGTGAGTTAAAGTAGTTTTTGGTGCTATCTTCCCAGTAAAGAGAATTTCCCTCATTGACCGAGTAGATGGATCTCGATTTAGGTAATTTCATATCGGGATGTGTGAGGATGAATTCTCCCAACGCATTGTCCATGGTGAAACCATTGACACCACCTCCCTTCATTGTAATAACTAATTGGGCCGAGGCACCGTACATGGTGAAACCGGCGGCGATGAGCTCGGTTCCGGGCTTGAGGAGATCTTCCTTGGTTCCTGTAGAGCCTTCTGCGAGTTTATGAATACCGAAGATTGTGCCGACGGAGACACCAGCGTCAAGATTGGAGGAACCGTCGATGGGGTCGCATGCTACGGCATAACGGGCACCTTTAGCTTCGGGGAAGAAGATGGCTTCTTCTTCCTCTTCTGAAACTAAAACGGCGCATTTTCCGGAGGATTTCATGGCAGCGATGAAGAGGTCATTGCCAATGACGTCGAGTTTCTTTTGGTCATCTCCAGTGATATTGCTCGATCCTGCGAGACCGGTTAAGTTGATGAGGGTTGCGCGACGGATATAGTATGCTATCGATTTGAAGGAAAATTGGAGGGCATGGCAGAGAAGTCTGGTTCTTGTTAGTTTTCTGCAGGTTTAGAGAATTAGATAGTGTAGATGGCATACGTGAAATCTCCCGTTGCTTCTTTCACTTTTGTTTGTTCTTCGGTGAGGAATCTGGTAAGAGTGATAATATCTGTGTTGATATGCTCTGTTGAGCCTTGGTCGCCGCCGTGAGACATGTTGAGATTATTGAGTAGGAATCTTTTTGAATTGTTTGATTGTATAGACAAATAAATAGAAAAGAGTTGTCGAAGGGAGTATCAAAGTACGGCGCCTGTTGTTATAAATACTGGACCTCGGGTCTACACGGGTATGAATTCCGGAAGCAGTATTCGATAATTAAGATAGAACGAGCACGCCGATGGACAGATGGTCTGTAAACGTGGGGAAAAGGAGGAGGAAATAAAAGGAAGAAAGGAAGAAAGAAAGGAAAGGGAAGGAAAAGGGGTAATAAGTACTTTTTGGGGTATTTATTCTTCTGATATCATACCTGTTGATTACTATGGGAATTGGATCGTCGAGTTGCAATGCTCCATTGTATTCCAAGCTGTGAAGGAAGAAATATTGGAGCTGGATGATCTACTGTACCCGACTCTCCAACATGACTCTTCCACACCGAGCCACAATACTAGAATATCCTCGTTCGATAAGTTTGTTTTGGTTATTACCTTGACACCTACCTTACCACCTACCTTACCACCTACCTTACCACCTACCTTACCACCTACCTTACCACCTACCTTACCACCTACCTTACCACCTACCTTACCACCTACCTTACCACCTACCTTACCACCTACCTTACTACCTACCTAGGTAGATACCCCGATATGCTACGCTCTCATCTCTCATCTCCATCTCCATCTCTCCCTCATCCCTCATCCCTCATCCCTCACCTCTCACCTCTCACCTCTCACCTCTCTCATCACATCCATATCACACGTCCCACTGGAAAGTTAAGTGGCTTTTTAAGGTCCCCCCTTCCTCCCCCCACCCCAGCCCCGCACTCAGGTCCCGTGTTGTATTTGCTTGGTTGCTTTGTTCATTCAATGCCCCGCGCTAAAAGGATCGGAGGAATGGGGGCCGGAAGAGTATAATTCAACACGGGAAACGTAATACCGGTATGCGGATTTGTTGGGCCAGCTGAGTGCAAAATAAGGGCCTGGTATATACCTCGTCGTAGTATTGGGTAAAGGAAAAGAAAGGAATGATTTTCCGGTGGAATGAGAAATAGATTCCATGTGGTTGGTAATGTCCAAAAGTCTCGCCCTTGACCATGACACCGAGGTAGGGATACACACAGTCCAGCGTACAACAAACCGTACAGTAATCACAAATTCCAACGTTTGGTAACTTATAAATCCGCTTATCCTAGGTATAAAGATTGGTCTGGAATGATTTTACATGATAGAGTTATACGGGCGAAACCGGGCTTCGGACGGATATGTCATTTGTCTTTCCGTTCGCAAGAATGTTTTTCCATTATAAATTTGAAGGTAGGAGAATCTATATCACTGGGTGTACGAGTATATACCTAGTAGCTGGGTACCGGTACCTTTCTACCTAGACCTGGGTAACCACCAATCGACCAATCGTGAATTTGATCCTTTTCGTTAGTGACATGTCAAGAGATGAGATGAGAACGTTCGTTACAGAGCAACCGCAGAGTGCACTTTTCGGCGTTACATGAGAAAGATCGGTGAGAACTGGCAAAACAATACAATCACCGAAATGAATAGTCATATCACGTGACTCTTAATAGCACAATCGATTCGGTGTGATTAACTTAATAGAGCCTCAGGTTATGATGATTCCAATGATGATCCCGATGATGAACCTCAGGCTCCAAGAATCCTGCGCTAAACTTTTCGAGCTAGTCTTTAGCGCGCGAATGAAATTTTTTAAGCTACAAAACTCTGCCTCTTCTTCAAATTATCCAAATCATCTTCTTCAACCCAACAACAACCTCTGCTTCATGCAGTATGGATTGGATTGGATTGACACAACTCAATTCAATCCAATCCGATTCATCATCAATGGTAAGCGCTTCTACCTCTTCTTCCCTTTCCCTTCACTATGTGATGACAAAACAACAACCGCAAACTAGAGTCTTTGATCCTACGGGAAATGAAACTTTTGTAACACGTCAGTCTGATATTGGATCACAATTTCACTCATTTGAGCAATTTCATGAATAGAATCATTGCTAACAATTGAGATAGATATCAATCCAATAACTCTATGCCATTTGCAATTGCTATAACAAATTCCCGGATTTAACCTTGGCTCATCATATCAATTGTAAGCTTCCCTTTATCCTCTCGAACTTTTCTCCTTCCCCCACCCCCATATACAATTTGTGATGATGATCAGTTTATGCTTTTGCATGCTGGAAATTACCGACTGAAGCTTTCGGGCTTTTGACGACAAAAAAGGCTGTAACTGAGCAAATTTTTCAATTCTATTCAATTTGATGATTTTTCTCCTTGAATTAATGCTAATTATATTCCAAGACTAGATGAGCCCTTCAAGTCAAGAGGTACGACACATCTCTCTTCACTTTCACTATCTCGCGACTGCATAAAATGATGAATGGCACTGGGCTCCGACAGTTCCAAAATGGTTCTGGTCTTGATGGATATGCCATTTTGCGGCAGGCCTAGAAAACCTCGCCCACTGATTTCAGTCATCTTATCAGCATTTGTTGTACACATGTTTGATATATGGTTTCTGATTTTGGAAGCATAGATTTGATAATCCCTTGGGTACCCATCAAGTGTTCCAGGTCTTCATTGACTCTGGGCATCATAACCTCCATGAGGGCTGTAACATCAGGTAAATAGACATTTTCTCTTAAATTTCACACATTTTATGATGAGCATTTTTAGATGACGAGTCTGATTGGAGTTTTCCATGTTGACAACATCAAAATTATACCATTCATGCCTTCTGAATTTTGACGAAAAGAATTTACTTGTTATTGATCATGTCAAGGCATGTGCTAACGTCAAACTGTTAGAATTCTGAATTGCTGCAATCCTCGTGATGGCTAACGTTGTGGTACCAGCTTATTTTGGTAAGAAATTTTCTCTTTTCTTATTTTCCTGACAGCCCTCGAGCATTCTGATGATATCGATCGACAATGACAAGCATATGTCCAAGCCTCGGCTGTGACGAGCCTATCTTAACTGAATATGCTCATGTTATTATTCACTGTTTAAGTCAATTCATAGCCATTACTAACGACTATCATTAGATTTTTGGATGCCATGTCCTATCAACCTAAGTTGATATCATTTCGCATCATATTGCATGATGCTACTACCTGACTTGGGCTCTACATTTTTGGTATGTTATCACTGGCTTTCGTACACTCATTATCCTCACTCCTTAACATGATGATTAATTTATCACGACGGTCGACATATCCACACGTTGGTAATTGATGAAACTGCCTATGACTAGGCTTTTGATCTGACATTTCATTTTTCTCTACACTTTTTCACGATTGTCTTATGATAAAATTATCACTAACAATCTGAAGATATAGGAATCTGCCATGCTTGAATGTAGCCCATTCATTCCCGTTCATACGGATAATTATTTTCATTGCGATACGTGGCTTGCCATGTACGTGAAGAAGATATCCACATCATCTCTTTAAAACAAAAATCATATTCATTGCTTTCGTTATCATGCTATCACATCATTTTCTGTTCAGACATGCCTAGGAATCGGTCAAGCTTCAAGGTCTATTCAGTTGGCACAAAATGTCTATTTGAACTACTGTGACTTACCTCTCTATATATCTATATATCTATGGAGGAATACTCGTTTCATATCTGTATCATAATCCATTCCCAACCCAAAGTATGACCTGACACCGTTACTCTTGGCGTTATATGTGACCCAATTCCCGCTCAAAATATCAAGGACACCCCCCACCCAGCCATCAATGCCAAGGCACGCAAAAGCAGAACCAAAACCAGACCTCCCAAAGCCCTTTAGACCTCCCAACACACTCCTTGGTATCATTTGCCTTGCCGTCGCCATAAAAGGACTCACGCCACCCTCACCCCTTTGAATCATCTGCAGAATCATCTACAATCAATTAATGTAAAACCTGTCCATCGCTCGGGAACGCATTATCCAACGCCATGTAATCCAGCAAATCCATACCACCCACGTTAACGCCATCCGCCGTCTGCGTGATGTTTACCTGACTATTGAGATCTTGATAGAAGGCGGATCCGGGTGGTAAATACCACATTTCGTCGCTACTATTGTTGTTACCCCAATCGTTGCTAGAGCCTGACATGCCGAACATGGAATTGATGGAGTCACTGTTGAAGTTTGGACCTCCGTGAGCTGCAGGGTAATGCGTGCGGCCGTAGAAATCTCCTTGGTTGAGATCATAGGGCGTGGCGGAGAGATTGAGATCTATGGGATGAAGTGGTTAGAGTAAGGATTTGGGAAGGGGTATTGGTGATTCAAACTTACCTGGACCATTTACATGGTAATTGGGCATGCCATCATTCCAATCTCGAACCGGATCAGCTGGGCCACGTCTCAACTTATTCGGATCTGCGTCATGAGCTGGTGCGGGAGTGCGACTTCTACTTGCAGGTTCTCCTGCGAGGGGAGGTGCTTCGGGGGCGCTAATGAAGCGACTACGCAGTCGCTTGGTCAATGTCTCCAACAGTTCCGCAAAGCGAATGCCGAGATGGACGTCGTCGACTACACAAGTACGAAGCGCATTGACCGCAGAATCCATGAGGCTGATGCTGATCTCAACGTCATGTTTAGATGCTCCTAATGCGAAGGTTTTCAACAAAAACATGGCACCACTTATGATCCGGAAATATGTTCGAACAGGAGCATGCTTCAGGTAATCGTTTGGTAGAAGTCCCTCTACGACGGTTCGTAATAGGTTGCGGCATCCCTCGACAACTTCTCTGACATATCCCTGATCAGTCGCTCCAAAACCACCGAGTCTCGCTAATGGTAGCTTTCCAAAGTAATTTTGTGTCTCTGGGGACATGGCACTTCCTAGTGGTAAACCTAAATCATTTGAGGTGTTTGTTCGATTGGTTGCATTGCTTGTGCATCTTTCAACAACAGCCTGCAAAGAGAGAGAATTTATGTATATTCTGACGTACTCGTACTCTATGGTCAGAATATGTCGAATGTAGAGAGGCAATCCAAATCTGTCGAATTCTCGTTTCCACGAACTTAACATTGGTTGAAAATCCTTCAAAAGGTCCGTGTAGCTACCATCCTGGATGATTTTGGTCGTGTATTGCCTAGATCTAAAGATCTTTTCATTGCCCATGCGCATGGCATTACTAATCCCGGCCCAGCAATGAATAATCTGATCATCCAATTCTAAATCGGGAATGTAATTAAAATTTGTAACAGAGGTTGTATTGGTGTCGGGGGTTTTACCATCAATTGATAGTCTACGTTTTCGTGGAGCAAATGCAGGATCAGTTTTCCGCAGGTGTTCAGGAACCATATTGGTCCAACCTAAACGTCCAGCTAATTGCGTGACATATATCAGTACCAGTCGCTTGATTCTCGCGGCTCTTATTCGATATGACTCTTCGTTGTATTCTGGTCGTGTCATTTCTCCACCATCAGCCAGCGACTCGTCAATATCATCAAAAACACCCAATTCGTAGCCGAGACCCATGGCGGTACTCAACAACATCCAGCACATTCGATCACTTCTCCACGCAGGTTCTAGCCAGCCTTCGATTCTTCGCCCGCCAACACCGCCAGGTAGATGGTGTTTGCCTTCTTCGTCAGTAGTGAAAGCATCTTCCTTATCAGGAACTGGTAACATGAGTTCATCAGTGGCTTCCGCAGGAGGAAAGTGCAGAGCACGCGGATGCCACTCTGTCAAGATCATAAGACTCTCAATTGTACCGAGAGTACGAAGACTGCCTTTCCGAAGTCCTCTCCATGGTGCAGTGCTTGATGTGAGAGAAGCCTCCGCGCCGGAACCACAAAATCCACCACCGAATGCTTCTTGGCCCCACAGACATCTCTCGATCATGCCTCTCAAGTAAGTCCAAAGCTGTTCATGGATCGCGTACGATCTAGAATGCCCTCCAGCTCCAGACATTTCCATGTACCGACTTGAGATTGTCAATAATGTCACTGTGAGAATTGGTTCTTCGACTAGAAGCATAGGATGAGTGTAAGGCTCTTTAAAAGTAGGGGGAGAGATAGGTGTTAGTGGCGACAAGAATTCGTAATAGCTAACTCAATCATTAGTCTGGTTGCAAGTTAGAGCAATGGGAAAACTTACTATGTGATATATTGAATAGCCTCCGCTGCGGTGAACCATCCTGCGCGAACAAATCTAAATCTTGACCAAGCTTTAATTGCATCCTGGTATCCCAGATCATGATCTTTGTCTAGTGGAACGGTATCGCCAGTTGTCAACGTAGGATCAATGGAAGATTCCGCGTGTGTGGTTGTGTGTCGCATATGGCTTATAGGAAATGAAGTATGCTGAGTTGCAGGGCCTTGATAGCTCTGAGAGGCAGATTGTGCTCTGTGGCCAATTCTTGGAGATTCTTGGCTATTACTATCTAGTCGTGCTCTTTTGTGACCTGGACTATAGAAGAAATTAGTACAACTCTTCGTGACGATGATGTGTCCTTGTAAATCCAGCCAATTGCAAAACACCAGAAGCATTTTCTCTCGTTGGGTTTGTACATAAAAAGTACAGCAATGCGAAACAATTGAGATATGAATTGCTCCAGATGAAAGGTCTCAACATACCTATCAGTAGCAGCCTTGTAAAGAAGATCCAAAGCATCATGAGGGCCATAAACCTCCTGTCTCATAACTTCTTGCGCTTCTGGGTTCTCTACGTTCTGATCTCTTTCTTCTTGTTGTCGCGATTCCGATTGAGGTCTTCGTAGAGGCTGAGTTCTTCCAATAGAACCACCTGGAGTAAGAGGAGGTCCAGGATCCATGCGCGCACTATCAGCAAAGGCGTTGCTTGTCGATCGAGCAGAAGGGGGAGCTCCCATGGAGTTTTGTCTGAAGGTTGCGGGGGGAGAGCCGGAAACCATCTTTCGACCATTGCGCGTCACATAGTCATCGGCATATTCATCTTCAACACTATTTTCCCTACTGCCATCCGCCTTCCTCTTTCTTCTCGTGGCTGAAAAAAAACATTCTTTACTTTCGCGTCGGCATCGTACACATGGTGGATCACTCGGATTATCGACACTTCCTAAATCACATCTCACTTTGCGACGACGACTGCAATTACAATTAGCCTTGAGATGAGACATGTAAATAGGGTCAATTACCATGGGATGCAAGCTTGATAAATTCTCTTGTGGTTTCCTCCTACTGAAATGTCAGTCTACATGTACAATGGCATTGTGCGACCATGGCTAATTCCAAAGAATGTCTCCAGGTTTCTCCACTAACCATTCTGCAACTTGGATTGCTGCTGACCAGTAGAAGATGTGCCATTAGTACTAGGCTCACTTGGTTTCTCCTGCTGTGTAAAATTGATCGCCGGCGCCGACATGATAATAGTAAAAAGAGTAAGCTTAGTTGTGTAAATGATCGAAGCTCTTTCGCTTTCCTACGGTTTAGGCTTTGCGATATGTTTCTTTCCCGAGAGATAAGAATGCCACAACCCGAACTGATTGACCGACAGACCGACAGCAAGGAACTTTTTTTCGGTTTTAATCAGCCTACTCTGTGCTTTGTACTTAGATAAGATAATCAAAAAGGAGGGGCTGTCCTCAATTGTTTATTTTGATCCCTTTGATATTTGAATAGATTGAAATATTAAATCATTGATTGGTAGAAATCAAAACTTTGGAAGTCTTGGGATGGATACTTAAAATGGAGAAAGAATTCGAGTTCAGATTCCGAGTAGGTGTTATTGTTAAGTTCTGATAATGTTTCATTATCCTCTTGACCTCCTTCCTTGTATTGGGTAGATTTACATACAAAAATGTGTTTTTATCTAACTGTTTTGGGTGAAGTTGCATACCCGAGGCTACAATATTGGTTTTAATGTACAAGGACTATCTACTCAGGCTGCTTGCTAGACTATGAATTTCGTTGATACGGGCTGTACAGATGGACGATACAAATGGACAATACAGATGCTATCTATCTATGTAGGCGCAGCAGTGGGGATCTAGGCATACTGTCCCTACCCAAGTAACAGATATGTAACGTATTCTATTTTAGATCCCCATTACCTACCTGGGTAGTCAAGGTTATGGATCTATCATATTCCTCTGGCTAACTGTTATTCACTTTGCACTTGATTAGAAATCCTTCTCTCTTCGATGTCAAGTGATTGAATACATACTCAAAGTAGTTAGTGAAGGAGTTTTATTCATCTATATACTCTTTTAGCTCAGAAAATTGACGTTAAGCTACGTTGTATACCCTAGAGCTTTTACTTGTCTAATGAGGGGAAGAGAAGCTAATGTCTATAAGAAGCTAGTGTAGATCTGTGTATCGTTGATTGAGTTTCTAGAACTTCTATCTCCCATGTCTTATTAGGTTTTGCGCAGGAACGTGATATGTTTATTTCTTTTAGATGGTATGTTTCCTTAAAGAATTAGGTCTTCTTGATTGAGGCAACAATGGAATTGATAGGTGTTATGGCGACAGTACAAACAGCGACGCTAGAGAAATATCGAAGGAGAAAAAGTATGAAATTGAGTGGTGTCATGCTAATTTCATCCAAAGTTTACTTTATCCTTCCTATAAGTACTCGAGATTGATTCAAATAATCAATACGTTTAAGTACTCAAACGCATTTCTGACATTGACGTATTCATCTTTGACATTGGGGATGATTATTTTAGATGAAGGGGTTTAACCGAGCCCCAAAGGACTGGAGACATCTGTCTTTACTTTACACTCCCTCCACTAATCAATGGGTCAAAATCCCTAAAGATTAGAAGAATCATATTGTGTCTCAATCTATAGCTTTTGCCTCTGTACCGTGTCTCTATGATTGTTCAAGGCTCTTGAAAGTTCACGGGCTGCTAGTAACGGCCATTCAGCTAACTTTTCGGCTTTGCAAAGTTAATGTTGAAAGTATCAATTACAACTTCAGAGTGTCTTAGATACATATGAATGATAACGCCTTGGCTCTAGAGATAACCTTTATACTAAGCAACTACGAAGTCTTCACTTCTGCCTATGTAATATTTCGCTCCCAGCCACTTTACTCGGTTCCTGAACTCAAACATTACAATTTCCCTCGATCTCTTTAGACTCTAGACTTCATATTTCTCTTCCACAATCCCAATTACCCCCACCTTCCCAAAAGCCACCTCCCTCTCCTTCAAATTAAAGACCCCAAACCAGTTCCTCAGAAACCCACTTCCTAATACAATACGCTTTACATCCCCTTCCATCTCATCTTCCATCTCCATAAACAACGACACACATCTATGACCACCTATATCCGTTCTATCTACTTCCAAAGTATGTTCATATGCTGTTAAAGGAAATTTATGGTCCCCGAGGCGTAAAGTAATGACAGGTAATGAATCACGACGGGAACAGGAAATGGAAGGTGGGACATCGTAGCCGCGGAACTCCATTCCGAGATAGGTGTGGAGGGAAGTGACGAGAGATGAAGGGAGACCGATGCCTGGATAGGATATTTCAAGGATGGCGATATATGGACGGAGGTTATAGGAGGAGGATGTGCCAGAGATGGTAAGAGATTTGTAAGGGATTTGCCAGCGATCAGTGATGAGATCTGGGAGCATGGTAGAGCGAAATTGCGGAGCAATTGTGTGATTTAGGAGAGGGAGAAGCTTGAGGGGGCCGGTATAGCGTGTATGGTCTATTTTACCGAAGGCGAGGAGACAAGGAGTGTCTGGAGTTTGTGGAAGAAGAAGAGTGAAGACCGGTGTTTGAATGAGTTTCTGGGAACGAAGATTGATGAATGGATTTGGAATTGAGTGCGTAGAGTGCGTGGATGAAGGGGCTAGTCCAAATAGCCCATCCCATTCCAAGTTACCCCAATCTGGATCTGTGAATCGTCCTACACTATCGACAGCGCCGAATTGTTGTGAAATTGTTAGGCCGGCGAAAGTGATGGTATCGGAGACTAGGTTTCCAAATGCAGAACACCTGGCATAGTCCATAGCAAAAAGAGTGCCTATCCATGTTTTCGTGTTTGACAAAGAGGGGTCGTAAAGTTGATGAAAATGGCATGTATTCGTACAATCAACTGACGGTAGGAACATGTCATTATCAGAGATGGAAAGGAGAGCTCGTGAGCTCTGCGGTGGGCTTCCAACTTCCAGATCTATGACACATACCAGTTCATTCCAATCCTGTACTTCGATCAGTATTGTCGTTCAAAAATTCCGAGTGGGTGATGAACTTACCCATTCAGGCACTCCACTTCCGTATCTTGCTCTTACGTCGTCCAAAAATTTGCCTTCCCTCAAAGCCGCAAGATATTCATCATCATTCTCCACACCACCAACTGGACCTTTTAACCTCTTTTGTTCATCTTCATTATGTCTGACCCGCCTTGACACCCTTGCTCTCTCTTTTTTCACTTCACTCTTCTTGTGACTATTTGTTCTACTCCTCGCAATCCTGTCCTCTCTTGCAGCTGCCCTTTTTGCTTGCGCGTATGTGGAGTTTCTTGCTACAGAGTAAATTGGCGTCGAAAAGATCTCTGCTTGGATTAACGTAGCTGTGCATGATACACACACCAGTCCCAAGTCAGAAATCTTCATGATGTTTCTCGATTACCAATCTGATCTCCTGTTGGTTTTTTCTGGTCTATTCTATTATACACTCTTGATTCAACTTTGTATGAGAATTGAGGGAAGAAGCCAGTTTTGGTCTGGGTAATGATGCGTGAATCACTGAGAATCAAAGTGTTACCAGTTCCAACGAGTGAATGAATGGATTTCAGGAAATGAAAAGCCGCTGAAAAACAGATGGATCAGATTACAGGAAAGGAAAAGAATCCAAAGATGCCAGAATCAGATCCTTTGAGGAATATACAAGGCTATATCAACAGATCTTTCCAACTCGAAGTGATGTTCGTGATTTCCATTACGGCTGTGCCACCCCTGACGTTGGAACCTACATTTTCCTCTTAATAGGTACTTATAGTTCATTTGTAGCCATGCAACCTGGTATGTATCATTGCGACAATGATGTATTTTTAATCTTACTCAGTAGAGTATGTTTTATATCACCAATGCGAGCGCAAATGTATTGGTTGCTAGCAGATTGAAAGTGTTGGTTCTAATAGAATGATACGATCAGAAAGAAATGTTTGGCAAAAGAATTCCAGGAGTTCGGATAAGCGCCTGGGTAATATCCAGGTTTAGATTGGCGCGGTGATATGGGTGATTGGCCTGCATTTAACCGCTCTGATATGCGATGCGACTGCCAGGGGAGGCGAACACATGCGAGGTGTGCTCACGTGTTCGATATTGTACTGCGCGGTTACTTGTGTTGTAAGACATTGTAAATGCTTCTTCTAAAGATAATTGTGAGATACTGCGGTAAGCAGTTTGTAACTTCGTGAAAACTTTACAAATCTTGTCCCCGATACACAGGCTACAAATTTCACCAAACAAACTGTCTTCACCGGAGTTCACTGAAATTAGCCTAGTTTCCACACCCAGCAAGCCTGTTTCTTCCAGTCCAGCATGAGGTGTTACTGAATTCAGTTATATATGGCATATTTGGAACACATAAGCTATGATAAAAAAGATATCTGCTCATGCGGCAACCGCAGACCTCGACACCTCTCGTAATAAGGCTTGACCGTTGTATTTACACGTTGGTGTGTAGGGATAGCTCTACCTTTCTAATATATATATATGTTCCTCGCCGTGATATTTAAGTATCACCTATCCACTTCGACCTGACCGCGACTAAATTCCCCAGAAACCCCTTGAATGACAGAAATTGCAAGTGGTGATGATTGAAGCGTTTCCTCGGAACTGCGCTGCTGCAAGTTCTCAAATACTTAAAACCAATGATCACTGAGCTCTGATACCTGGTGCCCAAAGTATATCTGCGTCATAAGTTCCGAAGTGGCTCTAGTAACTTTGATGGCGTTCTTGAAGTCCTGGGGGATAGCCATGTTTTCCTTGCTGTGGTCGTATAAAGGGATGCTCAATCGTTTTCTGTGTTACCATCTGTCCTCATTTGACAAAAGGGGCAAATGCGGCGTATTATTTTTAATAAAACTCGGTGCAGATAAAGTGCACAGCATGAATTACTGCGTCCTACATGTCAATGATCAGAATTCCCGGCAGCTGTCCATGGAGTCTCGATCTAAAATCGTACCTAGAACCACTATATTATCGGAAAAGCTCCTCTTATCAACAATAACGCTCGATATCAATACATTCCCAACAATATTGATTCCTTCCGAGAACGGAAGCGGCTTCGATAAAAAGTTACTAGAAGTACTCTTGGAGACCCACATGCCATCACTTGCTCCAAATATACAGTGAATAATGTCGAAAAATTCTATATCAACAGAGCTTTCTCCCTCTGCTCTACTCTGATGCCCGAACTTCGAGACCACAATTATCTCTGAAAGCGTTTCCACGTTGCGAAATCCCTCAACCTGGATCAAATTACCCACTGCGAATATCAAAAATGTCAAACCTTTTTCCTTGCGCCCATGTCTGGTTCCGACAAAGCCAAATCGGAAAACTTCCTCCTCTTTATCTCAGCAGTCGCCCCTCAGAGTCAAAGTTGAAGCATATGGAACACCACTGGGATCAAGTTATTCAACAATATCGCGACATGCCCGACGAGAAAGCATTGGATATCATTATGCTTCAAGAGGAGTTGGAAAAGGGTATGTCGAAGGAAAAGAGAATGGCGTTGCAGGAATATGTCTTTAATATTGAAGATCCCGAGAGGAGAGCTATGTTGGAGGTTTGGTTGGCGAGGTTTCCGGGATTCATGTTGAGGACCGACAGATTGGTGGATTTTGGGGTTGTGGATACGAGGAAGAAGGCCGGGACTCGAAGTGGTTGGCAATCATGGCTTGAGGAGTGGAAGCTCTGATGATTTGAGCCTGAGATGGGGTGATGGAGAGAAAGTCAATTTTGATGTTGGTTGATGCGAGGTACATAAAGCAGTGTGCTTATTTGCGCTGGCATAATTAAACAGATGTGTTCAGCGATGTGGTTCCAATCTTGGAAAGAGCAAGAAGATAGTGAAAGCCAACTATCATGCTGCAAACACAGACATTTTGTCTACGAGTTATCTTTACAGCGAGACAATATAAGCACAGAGTCCTCTCGAGTCCCTTCTGAGGTTTAGTGCAGCTGATATCAGTGATGTACAGGGTCCTTCCTACCCACTTAATGACCACCTTGTTCAACCATTTCTATCGATTGTTGCATTGTAAACTGCAAAATTCTCGCATCTCTCCTCTTCACCCACACTCTCATTCGTGAATTCCGCTACTCACCTCCTTAATTGCCCCGTTCTTCCATTCCATCGGATCTTCATTTGGCTCACCGCTGCGTTGATTGATTTCACTACTTGAATCTAAAGATAGTCTCTTAGCTTATATGAATAGGGATTTCCATAACACTTGAGTGATTGTCGGAAGAGAGGAAAGAGTAAACAAACGAATCTGATAGCCTCAGAGATTCTGTATAAGAATCTGCTAGTACCTTGATCATTGTATCCCTTACAGCTATATACGACCCGTCCTGCTCCGTGAAGTCTGATTTACGGTAATCACAACGACTCCTATACCTGACAAGCATCACATCAAAGTGATACCAGCATCTAATATCAGAGTTCTACTCTCCATACACAATCCATGACACCTCTTTATTACGAGTCGTCATTATATATTGGATTCTCCAACATGGCTAGCTATCGAGGAGCAATTTCAAGATTGAGCGGAAGTTTAACCAGCGCAGGCAAGTCAACTAGACTACTAGCCATGCTGTTCTGGACACCATAATTAGTCATTTCATGCAACCACTTTGAAGCACCACACGGCCTCAAGTGAAATTTTGCATCTAAGCCCCCAGAATTCATGCTTTCCATAATCGCCAACCCATCAAAACTGTAGGTATGTTCTATTTCCTTAGTTCATGTACAACCACAACAAGTTGTACGCGGCAAATGTTCTACGCCAAGTGAAGCCCTTCTGGAGAAGGATGTCAGACTCCTCGTCAATGATTATTGTCTAAACGAAGCTGGGGAAAATCAGGCAAGATTGGAGGGAAATCTATGAGGACTACGGACATCAATATGATGACAGATTTGAATACCTGAGAGACAGAGAGCGATTGGGTTGAGTTATTTGACGAAGTGAAGGGCTTTCGGTTCTGGGGTTTGAATAGACTAGTCGACCAGTTGGATGTGGAATTAACCCCATTGGCACCGTAAGGGAAGAAGAAAAACATTGAAGCAGTTTGGTAAGAACGGCAAGGAGACGAGTGGTAGTAACTAATGTGCCGGCCAGATATCTTCGTTATCAATTAGGTGCGGGCAACAAAGCGGGGATTACTCGCCTGAAGACCACATGCTTTCAAATAGCTAACAACAATAGCTTCAGATACCCAATGCCACCCACCAATGAATGACAAACAACCAAAATTTAAGGAATGACGCGAGTGAAAAAGCGGCCCAAGCACATGCTGAGCGTGTCGTCTACAACTACTTTTTATTGAATATGCCCTAGACTCCTTCCCGTCAACGCCTATCCATACATCACATGGGTATTGCCAATCTGAAACACAACATGGATCTTGCTTTGCTAACCACAAATAATACGCATTCCACAAGAAATTATCAGAGCATATCCGTGTTCGGAACCCAAAATAGAACTTCCTGATCTGCTGTAGCAAAATGGTTATACTTGGGGTTAAAAGCAACAATGGCCGTTTCGCCGGGGTAATCCAATTCATGCAAAGGACTAAGGACCCGATTTGTTGTAGCCGCAAGTGTATCCCATACCAAGACATTCTTTCCGCGAGATCCACTGATTACAAATCTTCCATCAGGAGTAAAACAGCAATCTCCGGCAGTGGTGTGGAGGTATTCACTTGATGAAGGATCCAAATTGTCTGGGTTGTGATCGCCTGCTCCTAGTCTTCTGGCGCCACCTCTATCCCTCCTCAAGAATGCCTTCAGATGCCCGTCAAACGCATCTAATAAGAAATGGCCATTGCCAGTCGTGCCGAGTAACAAGTGCTTCCCATCATTTGAAAACGCCAATTTGTTCCATCCTCTTCCAATTGCTTGAGGGGAAAACTCTTGACAGTATGGTAATATGTCAAAAGTAGCAAACGGTTCCTTGTCAAAGTTGCGGAAGTCGTAAAGTAAAATGGTTTGAGCTAGTGGGGAAGCAGCTGCAAAGACGTTTCCGGAAGGATCCCATGCAACGAGGTGGACGCCGGTAAGATTTAGAATACCAGAAGGATTGTTGGAAGCTGCATCCCAAATCCTAAGAGTGTTGTCTTCAGAGCATGAAATGAAATTGTCCTGGCCGGGATGAAGGGATAGACATGTGACATTTTGCTCATGTCCTTCAAAGTAACGGATGTAAGAATTATCATGAGCCGAGAGATAACGTATTTTGTCTATATTCTACTCAGCACTATAGAATAGAAACAGGGTGTGACTTACGGTCTTTTTTGGTACTAGAATGGATTATACAATGTTCAGCATGGCCAAACATTGCATGGTTACAGCCATACTTGGCACTAATGTTCATTTTTGAATGTCTTCCCTCAAGAACATCATATATTTGCATAGTGTTATCAGTTTCTGATGTGATTAGCTGACTGCCATTGTCATTGAAATTGATAGACTGAATAAAGTTGTAGCTTGGGGGAGTCTGCCCTTTGTCTGCAGGTGTCGGAGGATGTTTGAAAAGCTTGATTCATTAGTAATTGCTCATCCTCTGTGGTAACTAAGCTTACCTTGACTGGATTGTATAAGGAGATCATCTCCGTAAGTTTGCCAGTTTGTGGGACTGATGAGACTCCGTTTGCTTTCGACATGGAAGTACCATTCGCTCCTAATGGAGAGTCTATTGCCATAGGTGTTGATGACATGTTTTTTTGTTGTGATGTTTTACACTTTTCGAGATACTGTGTAAACCTTTAAAGAAAGATTTGAAAAGTCTAGGACCATAGAGTGACGAAGAGTAACCCCTGGTCTTGATTCCTTGTCCTTGATCTTTATTTTGTCAAAATATCAGAATACCAATGAGCAGAAAGACCGAACCATAATTCAATTTGATATCACCACGTGATCCGGATGATACCTCTTATCGGGTCCGCCCCACTATCTCCGTGCTGCTCCGAGGAGCAACTTTAATTTGTAGTGCACAAGGATCTGCAGCAAGCTACAGCTCCGACCCTCGGCCAGGCCAGTCTGCTTCAACGCAATAAAAATTATTAGTTTATACAGATTGATTTTATTTTGTATAACAACACAGTCAGCTCCCATTACAAACACTCATATCAATCTCCACTCCTTGAACATTTTCCGTCCTCTTTTAAGTTCTGCAAATATCTCGAAATAGACTTGTCTGGCTTCTTGACGTCTTCGAATTGGCGAAGTGATAGCGAGCTCGTTCTGTGAAAAGAGTAGGAGCGGGGAACATAGAATATGTCTACAACATTAGGGTGTGTTTCCAAGATTATTTCCTGCTACATTATACTCTGACGTAGAAAACATAGGGCCTTTGTCGCCGGCGGCATTGCAGCATGCGGAGCTGTAACTGCAACTCACCCTTTCGAAACAGTAAAGATCCGGTAAGAACACCATTGTCTGGTTAGAGCACACCCCAATACAAAATTACTAATGGTGCAACCACAGCATGCAATTGCAAGGCGAACTCCAAGAGAAAGGACTTCAACCAAGACTATATAAAGGGCCTATCCACGGTGTTACAACTATTGTACGGAATGAGGGTTTTGGGGGTATATATCGAGGAATCGGCGCTGCATACATTTACCAGATGATCCTAAATGGATGTAGGTTGGGATTTTACGAACCTATACGAGAGACTCTTACTGGCGCAATATTCGATGATTCAAAAACACAAAGTTTGGGAGTAAACATCTTTTCGGGCGCAACGTCAGGAGTTCTGGGTGCTGCGGCGGGAAGTCCTTTCTTCCTGGTTAAGACAAGATTGCAAAGTTTCTCACCACAAGCACCAGTAGGCACACAACATGGTTACAAAAATGCCATGGATGGAATGAGAAAGATTTATACAACAGAGGGAGTAAATGGACTTTACAGAGGAGTAGGAGCTGCCATGGTCCGGACAGGTTTTGGAAGTTCTGTTCAGCTACCAACATATTTCTTTGCAAAGCGGAGACTTGTGAAGCACTTGGGAATGGAGGAGGGGCCAGCATTGCACCTTGCAAGTAGTACAGCTAGTGGTTTTGTGGTTTGTTGTGTCATGCACCCACCAGGTAAGCAGTTTTTAATTTTGTAAATATTCTTTATGCTAATTCTCTCAGATACTATCATGTCGCGTATGTACAATCAAACCGGAAATCTGTACTCGGGTATTTTTGATTGCCTAGCAAAGACCGTCAAGACTGAAGGTATCTTCGCTATCTACAAGGGTTTCTTGCCACATCTTGCGAGAATTTTACCTCACACCATTTTGACCCTCAGTTTGGCGGAGCAAACCAACAAGCTTATGCGAAAATTCGAAAACCGAATCCTTCCTGCTTCGATAAAAGAGCAGGTATAGACTAGTTAATTCAGACCTCAGATTGGTTGGCAGGTCCGGCCGCGCCGAGTTGTATAACCTCGTTCAGCTTGTATAGTGTATGTCCCTTACGGGCAACCAGAAAAAATAATTGGTGTTTATATACGGGGCATTTGGGGTGTTATAAAAAGATGATAGATTATTGTTGAGCATTTTCATCCGTTGATAGATCTTGAGCATCCATAGCATAGAACAGTGTTTGAACTGATATCTTCCCTTACTGGCCTTGAATCTGGATTTTGATCCCCGCCCCAACCGTAAATACCATCAGTACCCTCTGCAACAGGGAGTCCGCAGATTCCACAGCCCTTCGATACGTGGTCAGTAGAAGGTTTCAATTTGCTCGATGTCCTAACAACATTGGCAACTATACTAGGGAAATTCTCCTCGACAGATTCGAAATATTGTGCCATTAAATCGTCAATCGTTGTCGACTTGGAGGAAGCAGATATATGAGAAGGTGGCTCCTGGTACACGACTAGCTCCGGGAGAGGTGTCGTTGAAGAGGAAAATGTCATGATTTCTTTTTTAAGGATATCTCGTAAGGGATAATTGAAGCCCAATCCATATGGTGATGGCCCATCGGAGACTTGCCATGGCAGAGAGAATCCACGCCCCTTGGCTGTTTCAGTGAGCGTCTTTTCTGCTAGTCGTGTAGTAGTATCACCGAACAAGATGCTCTCGCAATCATTTCTTTTGGCGACATCCACTAGGAGTCTATTTAAGAGCGTAGATACAATATCGGCCCTGGAAGTTGCAGATGACATTGTAGAGACAACATTCTGCAGATCCAAACTTGAGGCTTTGGTACCCTGAGTAGGAACGTCTGTAATTCCCAAAGATGCCCAATCAATACCTTCCAGTTGTAATGCTTCCTGAAGTCCATAACTTGAATAAGAATGCCTGGGGTATTGGTTCTTGTATTTTTGCAATAAAACAGCAGAGGCTTCTCTGTCCGCATCATCCAGGTAAAGATCGATATGCACAACGAATAGTTCATATGAAACTCGGTTCATCCGCTCTTGTTGGGTTTGAAGGTGGCCATCTAATATATGGAGCAGGCATGACGACGAAGGTCCAAAGGAAAGTGGTAATAATAATTTTTGTGGAACTTTCGAAGATCGTTTGCCTTTATACGTTTCCATGCGCTTTACTGCCTTTGTTTTAACATACTGTGAGAAGCATTTTCTGGTAGAGAACAGTTTATTAGTAAAAGCTATATAAGGATGCTGAGATGCATGACGAACTGGCAAACTGATTCTGATCGAATTTGAAGTGTAGCATTAGACTCCATACATCTCTTGCAGAGCACATTTGGTTGTTCCGCAGAAGGATGCACTGCCTCAGGATTTGCCATCGCCATCGCCATTTTATTCAAATAAGTCAGATAATTGGATGTTTCAAGTACAAGAAATGTTTCAATATCCTTAATATTTTGTGCAGATTCAAGACTTTTAATGAGGCGAGGCTGGAGCAAAATGTCAATCGCCCGAGCATAAATCTAACCATATAGAGTTAGCTTGATCTGTGCCTTACGTTTCCCTAACCCGCAATGAAGCTCTGGCTCTGTCAGCTAAGAGAGATCCCTGCCTGGGGGTTTGGTGTTGCCAGAAATCAAACAAGTCTAACAAGTCAAAACTTCATTCAACGACAAACTTTTCATATTATTTTGTGAATGTTCGAAAAGCTGGTCTTGATGTGCATTTGAATGTCAAGGAGAACGACAATATCATTCACCTTTGCAAATCTCGAGGTCTTGTTTCCTAGATACTAAAGTAACATAACTTTCAATTCGAGCCCGCGAGGCTACAGCAAACATGCGAGGTTGGCTTCATGGGTTCCTCGCATTGGGGATTTCGGCCCTGACAGTTGGTGCGTTGGAGGTCAGAATGGTACGTCGGCAGAGGTGGAGATGAGGTGCTTGTTTTGACGGTGATAGCAGGACGAATCTAATGACAATCGACAAGTATGCGCCGGAATGTATGATCGGAAGACTTGGGGAGGCCCGACTGAACCACATATATTGGTGAAATGGCTTCCAACTACACAAGACTCAGAGGATCCCGATCCAATTGCAAGCATGGTCATCTTTGAGTGGAGGGATTATGACCTGGTTGGTGTATTGCCAACCATTGACAGTATACAGGTACGATCCAACTGATTCAACTTTCCACATCCATCATCCGCTGATACCTGGGTTTAGAAAGAATTCATCTGCGATCCAGAGAGTATCAGCAATGGTTTCTGTAACAGCAACCAAACTGGTCAATTCCTCCTTGCGCCAAACGCAACAGAAAAGTCGATCAGTCAAATTTACACTGGAGCCGTTCATCTCAACAGCACCGGCCCACCAATAAATTATCCTATCAAAAAGACTGGCTACTACTGTGTTGGTACAACGGGCTATTCTCCTTCAAATGTTAAATATACTGCGGTTGTGGAATTCCGAAATGCCTATGGGGAGCTTCCAGCAGCACAAATACCAAAACTGCCATTTTACGGTATTATCACAATTGTGTACGCTGTCATAGGAATGTAGGTCAAGCTGTTCCCCTATTTATTTTTGCCGAAGCTAATTATTGATGAACAGTCTTTGGGCATTTCTCTATGTGCAGCATCGAGAAGATATTCGTCAGTATTCTCAGTCGAGTCTTTCATATCTGGACTAACATTTCAACAGTGCCCGTACAGAACTACATTACAGCAATCATTGTCTTTTTGATAGTCGAAATGCTGATGACTTGGGGCTTCTATGGTAAGTCGATTTTGCATTTCTTTCCGGACAACGCTAACCTATGTAGACTATCTCAATCGATCTGGAAGCAATATTGGCTCAAAAGCAATGATGATCATCGTTGCTGTACTTAATGCAGGCCGTAATTCATTTTCGTTCTTCTTGCTACTTATTGTCTGCATGGGTTATGGTGTCGTTAAGCCTAGTTTAGGCAAGACTATGGTTTATGTTCGCTATCTCGCTGGAGCTCATTTCGTCTTTGGCTTGATTTATTCAATTGCGAGCTTGACAATTACTCCTGAGCACGCTGGTAAGACCTTCTCTTATTACGAAAAACTTACATACTAACTTATGGTTAGGTCCACTAGTACTGTTTGTTATTCTCCCCCTGGCCGGAACTCTTACAGCATTTTACGTCTGGACTCTCAATTCCCTCAACTTGACCATGAAGGATTTAAATGACCGCAAACAAACAACGAAAGCAGGCATGTATCGCAAGCTATGGTGGTGTATTCTGCTCTCGATTATTGTCATATTCGGCTTCTTTTTCTTCAACTCGTTTACTTTCGCCTCGGCTTCAGATCCTGACTTTGTTCCTTTCCACTGGAAATCCAGATGGTTCATTCTTGACGGCTGGCTTAATATTGTCTATTTGATGGACGTCGGATTTGTTGCCTGGGTATGGAGGCCAAGCGCAAACAACAGAAGATTCGCTATGAGTGACGAGTTAGCGCAAGACGATGAAGGATTTGAGATTGCCGATTTTGGCGCTGAAGATGACGACGAAGATGATATCGAGAACTCCGCAGCTCGCAGAGGTGACCGAACACAACCCGGCCAAGAGGGAGCAAGATATGATCCTCCTCCAGGAGCTAACACCGCAAAGGAGATTCCAAGAGAAAGTCTTGATGGAGAAACAATTTTTGCAGTTGGAGAGGATGGCGACCGCTGGTCAGATGATGATGACGATTCGGAGACAGGAAAGAAACTTGTGAGTGGAAAGGGGACAAAAGATGCACACAATGATTCGGACTCGGATTAAGCGAGACTTTTACCATGTATCATAATGGGTCGGCGTTGGGTATTATTGAGAAAGAAGGAAATGGCATTTACAATTGTAAGCTCGGGGGATTTGTCATAGCATTTGTACTGATGTATTATTGTAGCAAAGCGTTTATCTATAGAATTTATACTATGGACTATATTTATATGTACCAATCTCCAAATCACTTAATAAATGGTTGATTGTCATTGATGAATGCCGCTCCTGCAAATCCATTTCTTCATTCTCACTACCCCTGTTTTGATATGGATAGTCGTGGCGTCTTCATCTCAAATGCCAATACACTTACATAACTTCACCCTTTCAGACCTCAATCTCATTGATTCCCCTTGTATAAGTATAAACTGGCAAGGCCCCGTTCTCTTAATCATGCCCTTCGACATCTTATCCCGATCAATAATACTCCTACCAAGCCCTACTGTACTATTTTTCACCCGATTCTCGAATTCTTTCCCATTACCCTTTACAGAATTGTGCATACGTGGACTGGTTTCAATGAAATGCGCAAGGGCTGCTCCTTGCGCAATACCCATATCGCTGGTTAGACGGCGCAGTGCGGTACTGGCGAAGGTGCGGTCCTCGGGTGAAGTAACACGAGATACGGCTGCGATATAGAGTGGCCAGACGAGGAAATAGGCGCCGGCTGCAGGAAAAGAGAAAGAGGGGGGCGTGAGGCCAGTCTCAGCTGGGATAGAGGGAGTACCAGGGACGAAGGCATCTTGGTAAAGAGTGGAGAGGAGATTGCTGATTGTATTGGGAGTTGAAGGTGGGAGGTTATTGAGAGGTGATGGGGTGCGGGATGGAGGTGTAGAGTGACCGGGAGATGAAGTCCAAGTTGACGGTTTGCGACTTACATAGCCCAGGCACTGGGGTACTGAGCGTAAAATCCCATCGCGCATGTGAATTAGTGTATCTGTGCTCAAATGATATTGAGCCATGTAGCTCAAAGACGTAAAACGTAGGGGTATGGCATCAAAACCTTCAAGAATATGTTGTCTAATCACCTCATTGAGCATGATTCGAGAATTTCGCATCGAGTTCCATATTTGCGCTATCCAATAGTCGTAATATATTTCGTAAGAACCCTTGAAGACAATCTCTGGGGCTTCATTCTCACCAGCTTGCACAGTCTCAACTTCCCAGCCGAGTGGTACATTAGCAAATATTTGTTGCAACTCTTTGTCGAGAGCGAGAGCGGCGGCAATAATTTGTTCACTATCGCCTAATTTGCCGGTTCGGAGATCGGATCTGAAGTACGTAAATTTGTCTAGGATAGCCAGCATTCTGAAAGCGGGATCCCGGAGGTCAAGCTGCTTGTAAACTGTGGCTCGTAGCGCCATAATCTCTTGTGGCATCGGGATCTCTCGCTGTAGTGCGCTTATGAGGAGATGAGCTGTTATCTGCATGAACAGACCAACACCCACTCGTGTTTTGAACTGTGAAGGGCCTCGAAGCTTGATCAGCGTCGAGGCTCCATTGATGTGTTCCGTCCATGCTTTCAAAGACAAACGGTTGGTACATGTTACTGTTTCGAATACGGCTAATACCATAATAGATAGTAATGTACTATCTTTGACAGCATCTGTGGGAGATCTAAGTGCGCCATTGACACGCCTTAGCGCAATCATATATTCTTGACGAGCTTCACCTAGTAACTGAGGTGATTTGATTCTGTTAGCAAGACCAGCAAGACCGACAGCCGTCATGCTTGTAGATAATGCTTCATCCAGACCACCATTGCGGCAAAGGTCCTTTAGATAATTAAATGTCCGTGTGATGGTCCGGATACTCCAGCCACAAAGTTGGCGATTAAAGTACGAGGTACCCTGTTCCACGATTGATGGAGCTATTGCGGCCCTTGGCCGTGGAGCCGTTAGGATTTCGTTCAACTCAAATTCGTCGTCAGGTTCATAGTTTGATGAGAATGTTGAATTGCTTCGACTTGAAATTCTCCGTTCGCTCGACGAGGATGCTCTGCTTGTTGCTTTTGATCTAGTGGCACTGAGTGGTCTGGGTGACCTCTGCTCTTTTTCGCTAGATGTAAGTTTTCTAGCCTTCTCCTTGGCCTTGGCTTTCTCAATGACAGCGGAACTTTCATTTCGGAAAGCCAAAATCAAGCATATTCCGATAACCTGGACACGTTTTACTCGCTTTCGCACAATTCGTGCAGGTTGGTTGTTCCTGCCCACCACTACACGAGACATATGATTAGTCATCTCGCACTCCTTTCCTCGTTTGAGCGAGGTTGCAACCCAAATAGGGTGTGCAGTCTCAGTGATGTGAGCCTCTTTGCATTAGTAGCCTGGGCATTACCAACCGTTGCAGAACGTATTAAAGATCGGGGGTTTCCATGTACACGAATCTTTCTCTCTCTACAATTTGCACACCCTTTTGAAGGCTTTCCACAATAAACCATGATGAGCGACGACTAAGAAATTCTTTCCACAAACACGATTGAAGATTGACATAATTTGTCAATAGGTGGGAGAATAGAAAGCTTTTTGTACAATTCTTACCACGGTCCTTCATACTGGATATTCCGACATTCTTGCTTGGAGTGAAATTGCAAGTA